AGCTGGAAAAATAACAAATTTTCAAAGCAGTGATAACTCGGTGTTAGATACAGAAAAAGTTTTTATGTAGATGTCAGTTTTGATTATCTTTCAGCTTGTAAATAGATAGACAGACAGGCAGACAATCAGAGATAGACAGAGTGTAATTCGATCTCATCATCAGTAGTTCATACTGATGTAACAAAAGGGAAAAATAAATCCAGCTATTAAAAGTCATCATATTATTAAAATACGACCGACTAAGGATTTTGATTTCTCTACAGTGACTTCAAAATATTGTATTAAATAAACAACAAACATCAAAGAATTTGTGATTGGACTTAATGCCATAATCGAATTGACCAATCAATTCTTAATTCTGTAGTATAAAGGGAAAGGTTTCATTTAAACAGTAATCAGGCTTCTATATCAACATTTTATTAATGAGCGTAAGATATTTTCAAATGTCAGCAATTTATGTTGGGTAATAACAAACTAAACTGTGTTTCAAATGTTTTGAAGAAAAAAAATACACGTTTACAGGATTCACCCAAGTGATATATAGTTCAAGAGTGAAATGATTGAAATCATTTGAATTGCTTACACTTTGCGTTGCCAATTGTATTGAAAATATAAATCAATAGGAATTTATTACGTTATTGTTTGTTCACACCAAAACGTGGCATCAGTGCTTGAAGTCACTAACTTCTAGTCTGAACTATGTTGGCAGATGCAGAGTACGTTGTTGGGGTCCGCGTGACTATCGTAACCAATGGTTGGAGACTCTTGGTGACATGGCTCAGAATCGGTCACAATGGAGTCGGTGTATACACTCTCTGTCTTCTCTTGAACTAAGAGATTAAAATCACTTCATATCTTTCTTTCTACAAACTAATTCTTTCTTCCTGTACTATATCCTTATTCCAATCTTCCTTTTATATATTACCACCACTGAATTAACTACTTTTATGAATCCGGTGTCCATCTTGTTGTGTTAATGAGGTATGGCAACTTGGACCGATGCATATATGTGCCTGGTCCTACGTTGTGGCTGACTGACTGTTTGTTCACAGTAAACTAAGTAGAAAGCAGTTATGTTGTTTAAATAAACAAACACGTATGGATATCTATGTACATTTGATAAAGATATTGATAAACTATTCAGTAAGCTTAACCTTTTAGAACTTAACGACTCAACCATCAAGTTACTATAATACGATTGATGTACAATAACATTTATACAAATTGATGAGCAAACAAACATTTTTAGTCAGGAGGGAGTATTAAATCATTTAAAATACTCTGAGCACTAGATGAAGGCACTTTTATGTACCATAAAATAAGTAATTCGCTTTTTTATTTAAGTTTTAAGAAAAAAAAGATGAAGATTATCTCTTTGATTTGGATTGGTTCACCCCTATATTATAGTTATACAGCATTATTTACCAGTACAAACTTGGCATCAGATTGTTGACTCAGTAGTCATTGGAATATATATATCATTATGTATGAAAATCACTTCAAGTTTAATAATGAGTCGAGTTGTAGACCATTTAATTGAAAAAAATGTAATTTAATTGAGTATTTTAAATGGAATTAAGATTAATTTCATCAAGAACTGATTGATGACAATTGAATAGCTGTTATGAAAGAAAGCTATGAAGCAGTGGACTGTTGTTTTAATCTTTTCTCAGTAAACATTATTGACTTCATGAAGTAGTGAATTCAAAATTTTATCTACAGAAGGAAATCGAACTCTGACTTTATTGCATCTCATTAAAGTTACAACTTGAATATGAGGGCAAGTGTAATTGCTGATTGTGCTGGTATGCGAATAAACAGAGACATTTAAAACGTTTGTTCAATTTTTAAAGACAATTTTAAGTGTAGACTGATATCCATTGACAAACTAGGACATATTAGGTGCTTGTTTTATCCAAGTATGGAACTATTTAATAATGTACGTCGACTAACTCTTACAAAACTGAATCCAATATTATAAAACGAGCATGGTATTATCGATCTGATACAAGTAATATTATCCAATTTCGTTTGACGCCATAGATAACAACGTTTGACTAGAATTTTTATTATCGGAATACATCATTATGATAAATCATTAGGAGGTAAGAATGATCCATTAGGTAATCAAGTCATATGACACCTTCATACACTAACCTGGGGGCTACGGAAGTGAAAAGATTAAAGAGTGATTCAGATAAACATAATGTTTGGTGTTATTCAGTTTGAAGATTTTTTATATCACGGATTAACCTTAGCTAGGTAAAGATTGGAAAACAGGAATTACTAAAGGGCCGTTTCGTCCTACTGCGGAACTCTTCAGTAGTAATAAGTACCCATGACCCCAACTAGTTGTATACATTTTCATTTGGCTTGCCAATACAGCTTTAAAGTTATTTTCGTTTTCTTACTCATGGAGCATGTTGAGCTTGAGTACAGGAAGGCGTATGTAAGTAAACGAATCAAACCTCAGTTATGAAACATGAACATTTGTTCATTACATGTCTATCTTCTGCGAATGATATCCTAGGTATACCGTCGATTCACATTTCAATAAAATGTCTAGGAGTGAAATAATCTCCTTTTTGTCCGAGGTGAATTCAATAGATGAATGAAATATATCAATATTTGCCGTTCAAATTTAATTTTCCCATCAAAATTTCGTGTTCATCGACAAAACAGATGAAATTCAAATGCAAAACGTGTGTTGAATACGCAATGTTATGGCCAAACTAATTAAATTTTGATTAGAAAGCGAGATGTCATTTTTTTTATCGTCCTGAGTGAATACTACTGGGGAGTTAAACAAACGTTTCAGATTGATGTTTTGCGGCAATTATTTTCATTGCTAGGTAGTTTTCTCTGGGAGTGAATATCAGTATAGAGTACTACTGAAAGCCAAGAAAGAATGGACAGTTGGTTCACGTCTCCATACGGTGTTCCAACCAGTTTGGTTGGTAAAGCCTTTTCTAGTGAAGCCTATTTAGGCCCTTCTGGAATGGATTCCATGTTTTCAAGGCTCACAAACCCATTGCGTGGATGTGATTTTGTAGGGAGCCGCGGCCCTGCATGTCATTACGGGTATCTCGGTATCGTAGTAAGATCACGTAAAGGATTCTTTTGGTTATTACTTACCCTGGATAGGAATAGTCTACGTGAATACTAGGTAACACACAGATTTTCATCCGAGTATTCATTGGTTTACATACAGGTATACCTACTCTGTGAGAAAATCTGCGTTATATGCACATCGGTAACACACAGGTTTAATCCCATGCATCCTACAGCATACACATAGGTATATTCACACACTTGGGAGGGTAGATGTTCACCACTCCCTTGAAAACATATTTGCAACACTAGACTGTCTCTTACACATTGCTTGCATATCATTCAACTCATGGCTGCCGCCACAGTACTTCATGACACACAAATAAACATAAGCATTCTCTCCGGGAGGTTGTTGGCCACCTCCCTTTAGCACTTGCTACTATGTCTTCGACCTGATAGATTAGGCCGCTGATTTTATTAGACAGGGTAGATATTTCGGCGAACGATTCCATCGCATGACACTACACGTACACCGTTTGCACATACCTACACAGGCCCGGGGACTTATGCAATTCTTACACATAAGCGTACACATCAGGTGACTCTGAGCGATTAAGTACGCTTCGAGTAGAACCCAAGTTGATCGGAGTTGGTGATCAGTCCGACCTCCGTCGACCAATTACGTTGGCTAGCAAGGCTGCTTCTACTTTCCAGCAGCACTGCGAGAAAGCCTTAGGTCAGATTTTGCTTTCACGTCTCCACAGCTAGACATGAAATTCATCGTTTGACCTCTTGGCAAAATTGTAAATGAAAACTACTGACGAGTTCTATATTGAGACAAAACAATTGTTCAGTGTTTGATGGTTTTTAATCAAATCCAACCCAATGTCAATTTGCGAAGTAAACTATCTAAAGATATTTCAAAATTGTATTAAAAATAAATAATAGAATAACATTCACTATGATGCTGTGAATTGATTTAAAGATGACTACTACAATTGGGAGAAATTAGGGAGAACATTGTCTTCCCTATCCTATTTAATGAATTTATGTGCATTCCAATGAGTATATTCTTGGTGAATTTTGCATTGATGAGATCTGGGATTGCTTCAGAGTGTCGCTCTTTGGAGTATCAAAACAGTTATAACATGGATTTCATAACTTTGTATCATATAGGATCGATCTTTCGGTTGGTTAATGATTCTAGAAATACAATCAATACAGTTAAATATCAAACGATATTGGTTGAAGGAATTTCGTCTTACGAAACACATCTGAAAGAGGACGGAAATTGATTTTGTTTTGCAGATAAATTTTCTATATGACTACTGTAACGTCCTTCTTACTATTATCGGAAATATGTACTTTAAAATAAAATAATTCGATGGTTATTCGAAATATTTAACTTGGTTCTTCGTAGATTGTAAAAAACATTTGATCATTCTAAATGCTATTTTCATTTTGAACCGAAATCATGTGGAGAAAGCAATAAAGGACTAGCAGGTATAGGATTTTATTCCTATTTGAACTTACTACACAAGATAAGGTGTAGAGTGACAATACAAAGTCTCTAAGGATTAACTACGGATATAAAGTTATTATTACTAAACAGTCGATATTCTTCAAACCATTAGACATGAAAATGATTATGAATAAACTGATTATTATTGAATAACTAGCACGTTGTTGTTAAGCCGCTTCCTACTTCAGGTGTTAACCTGAAATCTATCATGTTTTTACATGAAACTGAACGGTAATAGGATGGTTATACTATTAGCAATGATCGTTAAACGGTGAGTGTACAATTAGTAACACATGATTCTTAACTAAGATTTCATTAGTTCAAACCCTGTTCCGTCTATTTCAGTTCAGACAAGTATTCAATCTTACTAGTCTAAACACAACTGAATAGTGACTAAAAATGAATTTGTATTTGGCAAATCAAAATACTACACGTTGGAGCTAACCACTCTGTTCAACTGTATATCGGACATTGATATCATAATCACTTAACTTCAATCAACTGTTTTTACTGTTAATCACTATTAAGGTTCAGTTAAGTTTAGATGTTTTATGTAATTTATATTTTTTTAAAACAAACAGTCAAGTAGCAACAACGAACAAAAAAACCGGTATACATCCGTTTAAATCTTTGAAATCGAACAATTTGTTTTAACAAACAAACGAGTTCACCAAATTTTCACACACACACACACTCGATGAGTGAGACCAGCATCGAGAAATGAAATTTAAAGAAAGAAAGAAAGAAAACACTGACAAATTACACAACAAACAAAACAAAACATCAATGACATTCGATTGTTTGTTTCATGAAAAACATAACATTAAGTCAATAAATCAATAAATAAGCAAATCAATTAAAACCAAATAAATAATGTATGACGTAACAGAATGAATGAAAAGATAGATTAGTGGTTGTAGTAGTAGTAATAGTGGAAGTACTTGCTAGAATATGCTTAATATCAAGAAAGTATTAAGTAAATGAAAATTCTTCACAGAAACAATAAACACGATGATGGCATCAGCGGCGTCAGCAATAGCGGTAGTAGTAACAACAATGAAAGCAATAACAAGAGACATATTAACGATAGTATTATCACGATAATTATTATCAATAGTAAATGTACAGAACCAAAATAAAAATGAACAAGCAGTAGATAACTATGGCACAAACAAGTCAGTAATAGAATAGAAATTGATAATGTGCGTAAGAGGTATAGTTATAGTTGAAAGCAAAATTATAATGATTAATTGGTAGAGAAAGTGGAAACCGTAAAAAAAAAACCTACATGAATAGTGTGAGATTTAACGATGAGGATAATGATGTATACAGAATTAATAGTATTCATATTAGTCCCAATGTTACAAAATCATTTACACATGAATCAATCCATAAGAAAAGGAAGGGAAATAGAAGGGGGGCAAGTGAAGAGACTAAGTTATTTACATAATGAGATGAAAGATTACCAGTATCTGTTGTAAGAAATACATAGAAATGATACAAATTTCAAAGGAAGAAAAGTCAATACACAATACATTGATGTCGTATATCTCAAAGAAATTTAAGTGTTTATTATTGGTAGAATAGCAAATTCAGCAGTACACACATAAGAGTAGGCTGGGAATAGTGGGATAGAAGTAGAAAAATAAAAGTGTGATACTTTTGAATAGAATATTCGACTAGTTATGCATATTTATTTATAGTTAGAAGCAACAGACAACATAGAGATGATTATTATTTGACGTAGACAAACACACAAATATACATACATGTAATATGGAATAAAATAGTAGAGAGTAGAAAATCTTGGATTAGATTTAGCAGATAAAAATAGTTTAATTCGTGTTGTTATCGTTATGATTAGTTCGTTCTCAGTTAGTATCTTCTTTACAGTTATTATTATTACTATTACCACCAACGCTACCAAAAGTGTGGTCGGGATTAGCATCATTGTTATCTTCATTTGTAGTTGGTGTTGTGCTGTTTGTATTATCAGTGCCAGAAGTAGTAGTAGTAGTAGTAGTAGTAGTGCTAGTAGAAGTAGTGATAATCGTCGTCGTAGTAGTAACAGGAATTATTTGCACATTATTAGTATCCTCATCAACATTAACATCATTGATCACATCTACAGTAAACTTATCCTCAACAATTGTCGTATTTAATTCAAATGGTTTAGAAGTTCGACGACGTTTATGCCTTATGCCATCTTTGCGCAAATTGATATTACGTAGAGATGAAGATGAAGAACCATTAGTTGGCATTGAATCACCAGTAGTATCTTGATTAAAGCTCGATTCTGATGTTGGTATACTACTATCAATATTGGTACCAGGTTCTGTCAATAATAATGTACCAGATTCCAATTGATTTACTCTTGTATATTGATCGACATCTTGTTCATCATCTTCATAATCTTCTTCTTCTTCTTCAACAACTGGTTCTAAACCAGGATCTTCTTTGACCTCTAAAACCTTGAGGAAGTTGGACAGTTTGAGGACGGTGGAGGAAATAGAAAAGATAAGAAAATAAACCCGGTAGGTTAGATAAGAAATTACACAAAAACTTAAGGCTGAACAATATCGAATATTATTTTTTACGAAATTAACTACAATAAAGCGAGTTATCTAACTCCATTCTTATCGAATAAATTCTTTACGAAAGTTCTCGAAAACATTCTATTTGAGCAGACTGCTCGATATTAGATTCGTACCAAAATATTCCAGAATGAAGCACAGTGCAAATTTGAATATTCATAAAAAGCGAAAGATTTTGTTTGTAAATCCCGATCAGCAAATTTATCTATGGTGACTAAAAAATAATATTGTGTTCGTCTAATCTTCAGTTCAATTGGAAGTCTATCGATTTAATTGTTAGGTAATTACTAGTTTAAGTGACTTCATATAGCATTCACTATTGTTTGATATTAGATAGATGGATGAAACCAATAGGGAGTCTCGGACATAAGTATCGTGCTTGCAACCGCTTGTCGGCGAGACCAGAGTGAAATTTCATCAGTGACCAACCAATCAAACCGTTAGATAAGTGAAACCGTTCAGATGAACACATTCGATATTATCAACTAAAAAGTAGATAAGTGGACGCATACATTTGCGTTATAAACTGTGACGTATAAAAGATTACAAAACATTTTGCTCAGATTTGTATATCTTTATACGTATAACTTTCTTTCCATATTTTAATCATGTACGTGTTTGTGTGAACCAATTTGAAAGTATAATTTTAACTAGCTGATGAAGTACGGTTACAAACCTTAAGTTTCTATCAAAGAAAGTACATTATTCAAAGTAGATAGTAGCTATTTATGCACCACACTACAAAACGTAACTATATCGGTCTTGTTGTTAGTTAACTTAACGATTACTGACTTACTTTTGGTAAGATTAAAATTTTATTCCCTAACTTCAAGACTGATTAATCAAGGCATACATGCAATACTTTGATAAAAACTAATTATGAAATATTGATTAGGAAATTCCAGGTTGTTTCTGGCTGAACTTTAATGTGTTGTACACTGATATCATAGTTGTATTTAAAGGTCTGCTCTACACGACATTCTAAGTCCACTTTAAAAATGATATACCGATACAGCCTTTCACATCTAACCGATTAAAGTCAATCATTTCGATTCAAAATAAACAATTGTAAAATAAACAACTGTAAATATCTACGAAACAATTGAACGAATTATGAAGAATAGTATTTTGATATCTGTTAGATCTCTCTCCCTCTTTTTGAGGCTTAATATGTAATACCAAAAAAGTAACTACCATAAAAGCTCTACTCACTTCAACAGATTGAGCTGGAAGTGATAATGATACTACTGGAGTGGGAACTGTACCACCACCACTGACTACAGATGCAGGAATAACAGCAGCAGGCAATTTTAAACCACCGACATTGACCAAAGAAACAGACTCATCTGTCATAGGTATTGTTGTACCAGTAGTATTAGCAGTAGTATCCAATGTCTTACTATCCAACAATCCAGTAACAACACCACTGGCAGCTAATGTCGATGTTGGCTCTGTTGAGAAAATCATATGATGACCGGACGATATCGGTAGACAATTTACAGAAGATTGAGGAATAATAGATGGTGATAATTGATCAGTGGTTGAAGTCTGTGACTTTAAGGCATCGATCACTGTCAATGAAGTTGAAGATGGTGCTACCGTCGGTTGATTTACAGCATAATGACTGTCAGTGACGTCAACACGTCTGGTGGTAGATGTCGGATCAACTGGTGCCATACAATTCACGTCTATGGATTGATATTCACTGACCATATTACCCAGTTGTTGTTGCTGTATATAATATTCATGATCAGTTGTCGGCAACGTCGGTGAAATGGTATTATATTCATAACTATAATTTGTATGGTCCACATGATTTGGCATTAACTCAATGGGACTGTATGATGATTTTGGCTTATTGGAAAATCCTCTTTTTGATAACCAACGTAAAGGACAGCCAAGAAGACAAGAGATAAACAAAGCAAAAGCAGAAAATATAAAAGCCATAGATGATGCGTTATGTGATGGTGCATTATGCACTGTAGAAATACTGAATGGTGATGTTTTATCTAATTGTAAATCTCTTAAATAACCTAGAGGATAAAAATAAGCACAAAAAAAACAACATCAAGAAATGAGCCAAAAAATTCAATCGGAAAACGTGAAATTATCACATTCTTCTCTATGCTACTTATAAGTAGGATTGATTTTATTAAGGCAGAAAAATGGCAATGCGATGAAGGAGAAGAATGATGAGGATGAGTAGACGACATGCATTATCACAGAAATAGATGATAATGAAATAAAATTTGATTTCAGTAAATTACATCATTATTTATTGACATGAAAAAGGAGTGTTTCCTACTTCTAATCATTTAAATTGAATTAGAGAATGAGAGAACAATCGAAAAGAAAAACTGAGAAAGTACTCAAAATCAAACACACACACAATAGTATCTGTGTATGCGTGTGAGAACAGAAAACGATCTCTAAACAGACAAAATCTAAAATAATTTATATCGAAACAATCATGGAAAATTAATTTAGAATAAATGACAGTTCTATTTGAATTATTATTCGTTCTTAGAAATAAAAAAGGGAATTATTGTACATAAGTTAGTAGTGTTTAAGAAAAGTTAGATATTGGCTAACAGTGGAACCTAAGATGTGAATTTCATTTTATCTAAGACTCATTAGCCAAATGTACCTACCAAGTTCAGTCTTTAATAAAAACAACACGACAATTGAAACCCTTACAATCAAACTAAGTGAGTAGTAGTTCAAAATGTTGAACTTCTCTTTCAAACTATAGTTCTTATTTTTGCGTTTCACTAATCATCCGTAACTATCCAACTAACTTAATCAAGATACATCAATAAAGGATGGATCGAAGTTAGGCATTTACATTATTGCATATCGGCTCAGTGGTCCAGAGGTCAATCTTTGGCGCGTGAGACAAAGGGTCTTGTGTTCGAGTCCTGTGTATGTGTGCATAGCTGAGGAGTCCTATGCTGGGATGAAAAGGGCGTCCAGTGCCTACACATTTCCAATGATGGTCTAGCTTAGATCGACTCGTAATGTCAACTGTCTAGACATATTTATTGAAAATGATTGCTTTTTGAAAACCTGGAATATTAGATAAGTTGATTGGAGTGTGATATATGACCATGAGCAAAACATTTCAATTCCTATGATGAAATAATACCATTGAATATACAAGTATAAAATGACAGTAAGGTGCTCAAGTTAAATAGCTAATAATTCTTTAGACATCTGATCTACAAACAGATGATGAAATATAGAATCATTTCCAACTTATGCATATTCCCAAATCCGATCCATGATTACCTGGTAACTGCGATAAATAAAACCAGTGAGTATGAATATGACGCGTCCTAAACACTCTCATTTATTGAGCTTTCTGATCATATCCTCAGTTGTTTTTTTTTTCGATCATTCAATGAAACAAAAAAGTCTTTCTATCGGGTACTCTTACGCGGTAAACGTCAACCATCGAGAAAAACCTTCACTGAGACATACCTGAATTTATTCTACGTAATGTGACATCATTTATTTATTATAAACTGATACAACTATATCTCGATTTAATCATTAAAACTTGAGTGAAAGTTAAAGTAAAACTTATTCATTAAAGAATAACATTGAAATTAAATGTAGACATCATTGTCAACAAAGAAGGTGATGATGCTAATGAGAAAATGAATAATAAACCAATACATTACATAATACTATATAAAAACAATATTGTCAAAATTGATGAGAAATTATGATTGATCTAATCCATTAGAACAATGAAATCAGATCAAACGTGAAATAAGATTTAATACAGAGGAAATGATCACTTCTTACTACATTGTCTTTCTCATATACCAGATAAGAACTCTAAGTAAAGATGATAAAATAACAATAAAGACATGGTAAATAAACTTTATTTTAAATTCATTTAATGCATGTACTACTATTATTACTATTATGATTGCTATTAGTCAATAAATTGAATGTAAACAGGTGCTTGGTGATTTTTAAAGCAGCTAACTAGTGTTACTTACAGAGAATATTTTAACTAGATCACAAATATCTAAAGTGTACATCAAAGCTAAGTGTACACAGGCACTTGTATTTGATAAGTGAATTACAGTGAACTCATTTAATCTTATTGGCATGACTAATATGTTATTTTCTGGAAAGAAATATTCAAATAAACCTTCACAGAACAATTATAAACATGTGAACAAATAGCTTATATGATGAGTCTCTTAAGTTATTTCTCGTTAGTCTTAAACCTTATCCTAATTATATCATTTAATTTGTCATTATAAGGATGTATTTAGATCAGCTGATTAATTTAAATCAAATCGTTACATAGGAAAATAAATCAAGCAACAATTACGATGGTATATCTAACACAGTGATTTTTGTTATTCTGTGACCCTTAATTTTGTATTCTTCTTTTTCGTCATAGAAGTATATAAGTAGCACGCGAAATAGGATCGAAATGTCCCATCATTTCATTGTTTATTTCTCATTTTGCAAAATATCTATCACTACAAAAACGTTCATGACATTGTTATTGTCTACTTCTTGGTGAAAAATTATGTTCTTATGACACTGATTAATACAGACAATTGGAATAGCAGAAGGATTGGAGGGATGAGAGAGTCTTCAAAGGAGAACTCAAAGAAGATATGCAAACGATGCATTCAATATATTATTCATATATTTTACAAATATAGTGCATGACTTTGCATATTATGACATTGGTTTACCCTACCCAAGTCTTAATTTGTTATAGTACTTGTAAATTAATGTGTATTTTGTATTACAGTCAGGCAGTCAGCTACAACGTAGGACCAGGCACATATATGCATCGGTCAAAGTTGCCATACCTCATTTACACAACAAGATGGACACCGCATTCATAAAAGTAGTTAATTCAGAGGTGGTAATATATAAAAGAAAGATTGTAATAAGGATATAGTACAGGAAGAAAGAATTAGTTTGTAGAAAGAAAGATATGAAGCAATTTTAATCTCATAGTTTAAAGGAAAACAAAGAGTGTATACACCGACGCCATTGTGATCGATTCTGAGCCATGTCACCAAAGTCTCCAACCATTGGTTACGATAGTCAAGCAGACCCCAACCAAGTAGTCTGCATCTACCAACATAGCTCAAACTAGAAGTTAGTGACTTCAAGCACTGATGCCACGTTTTGGTTTGACCGCCCCTAACTTTCATCCAACCATCCCGAACACCGGTTAGCATTGCACGTCGTGGTAATCGGTGTTTGGGCATACGTAACACGTGGCTCAACCATGTCAGTCGATGAAGATTCACAACCTTATCGACTGATTTACCATCATTCCCTAATACCCTGTGTCTAACCTCACTATTACTTACCCGGTGATCCCAGCAGACGCCAGCAATATTTCTGAGGCATCTGTGGTCAAATACTAGTAGCTTACGAGTGTCTTCTACTCTTAATGGCCATGTTTCGCTGCCGTAAATTAAAACAGAACGGACTACCGCGCAGTATATTTTGTATTACAATGATTAATGTACTTATTATCAATTGTTAGAAAGAATTTATTGATTATCTCTCTATAATAAAACAAACGTTTTAATACAAAATTAACTCAAATTAATCACAAACAATCAGAAATATGTTACTTATTTGGAAGAAAATAAAAGAAAGAGAAAACACTATACAAAGCAGATTAATGTACTTTAGAAAAGATTTTTCAAAGGAAAACAGAAACACAGAGAATAAATGAAAATGTGTACAGTTAGAAAATATTTTACACAAACATATAGTTAATATGTAGTTATTAAACAAATGGTTCGCGGTATTCGTTTTAAACACACTATTCTAATCGTCAAGTTTCATTTGATTTATATTTATGGTGTATTATCGTTTAGTTATTTAATGTATGTAGTAATTATGTCCTAGTGGGTGGCTTATGCTTCTTTATGAGGGGTAACATGTGTAAGTAAATAAATTGGTAGTCATGTAGGCTTTTAATTCAGATTAATACTGAATCACGTGAAAGACTTGTCTTGATAAGTTATCCAAGTGTTCCGAATAGTACACTGGGAATAAATAAGCATTTATAGTTGGCTAATTATTGTTTAATATGAACAATAGCTGATTGACTAATTAGCGTTCGTTAGGATAATAGCATGAAAAAATATTCATAACATTAACTGTCAATTGAGAAACGACAAAAAACATTGTTGATGATGAAGTGAAGGGTTGAGAAAATTTATTTTAATTTATAGATAAGATCAAGTGATGTTAGGAAAATAATCACTGATGAATGAACATATACTAAATCAATCATATAGTTTGAGTTTAATGATTTTTCATATATGCACAGTTACACTTTCCCTTTTATAAGATCTAAAAAACTGAAATTTTAAGTCATACACAGATCATGATGTTATTCAATTATTTGAGTCATCATATATTCTGATTACCATTTGTTAATGTTTTAACGTCGAGACATGGTTTAGGTGAACGACCGCTGACAGCCCGTTGTATCGATGTAGTACAGAGCATGTCAGCAGCGCACACCCAACTCTTCACCAAGGTTCGAAACCGGAAGATTCAGGCCCCGCTACGAAAGTCTAGGCACCTAGTGAATTACATTTGTAAAATCATTGGATGAATAAAGAACGTTTGTAGGTTAATTTTATGGAAATTCTTTTCAATTGTAAGGAAAGTAATATTGGGTTTACTGATTTTACTTGAAAGGTTACAAATACAGTGGCCCAAAGTGATATTAAAACATTTGACTTTCAAAATAAAGATCACGAATTGTACTTGCACTCTATCTACTTAGATTTAAGTGGTGGAATAGTATTCGTTAACCTCTTTATAATTAAATTGTGGAACAAATTCGAGTGCATACAGAAAAGTCATGATCAATGAGATGCTAAACTTTGAAATTAAAATGAATAGTACCAGTTAACACTAAGAGAGACGAAAAAAAGTGAAGAAAGTAGTTTAAATTACAGACTTTGGTCTTCAGTTTTTGCTTGTTCATAAAAACGTTTTACAAGTCGTAGTGTCAGATTTCGTGTACAGTTAAGGTTTTATATCTTGGTACATTTTATCACTAGATCACTATACTCATTAAAATCTAAACAGTTAAGTATTAATATTAAATCTTATTAGACTGAAAAGCGTTTAACCTTAAGCTTTGGTACATCAGTCTGAACTTTGTAACTGAATTATGTTGGAAAACGTTCCATAATACGCTATCCTAAAAACAACAATTTATCAACTCAGTATTCTTGATAAGGCCATCGATACTGACGAGTATCATACTAGAACGAGACAGTATTTTAACGCTTCCCGATTTTTTAATAGTTGTCTAACCGAGGTTAATCCGTGATGAAAACCAAGAATTCATGATGCTAGAATATTAAAATCTTAAAAGTTTGAAAGAACTCTACTCTCTATGTAACTAAAAATAAACAAACGGTAATTATTAAAATATTTTAAAAGAACCTTTCCAAAAAAGATCCGAATTGACTTTAAGTCACATATCACGTTGTTACTTATCAACTATTATGATACAATTGTGAAGTGCAAAGTTCAAATCAGTGTTTTACTAACCTACTGACTGATTTACAATTTCAAGTATAGAATTATCATCGTAAAAATAAACCACTTACCAGCCACTGGCGGACCGACAGCGGCTGCAAAGCCTTGAAACAAAAGTAAGTAGCCAAATGCATTAGTCAAACGATCAATACCGATCAATTCCACGACTAGAATACTTTTCAACGATACAAATACAGCTGAAAGTTTTTTTTTTAAGAAAGGAAGTGAAGAAAGAAAATTAGTATACCGTATTTAATTGAGGTAATTTTATGGCAAAAACATTGATGATTGATTTATTGAAAACTATGGTAGGCAAAGCATGATAATAAGTATAGATCATATAGTAATGATTGAATAAAATGGTTTAGTTTGTCGTTGAAACGTTAATATAAATATTCTTATATGCTGTCATTGTCGTATTGATTCATGGTAATTTGATTTCAGAAACACTTCAAATAAATTTTATTTATAATGAGTAAATAGTGAGAGAACAAATCAAGAACCTTGGAATTTCCAATCAAATTACACGACTCGAGGTCAGAGCAAGGGTATTCTAGGCTTAATACTATTAAAATGCTCAGTTCATTTGTGGCAATACACTTATCACACTTTCGTCTTTGGAGTTTAAAATATCCAAGAGAGACCTCAGAAGTAAAGCTCTTTAACTCTCTTAGTGATTAACGTATCATGATTTTCATACGCAAAGTAAACAATCTTCATAAACTCTTAAGGGAATGATAAATATGTGCACACTAAATGCTAGCTTTCAGAGGTAAGTCTCAAAGTCCTAGTGACCAACGAAATTCAATTATGAAAGATGTAAGACAGTTACATTGTCGCACAATATCAAGAATTGACACAAGTTAAGAATTCATCAACGGATGAGCAACCTAAAGGTCATAGATTCTCTTTCTGATAGGGTTGTGAAAGTGTACTATCATGAAGTCCCAAACTAGAATATACCAGTTGTCCAGTGGTTCTTAATCTTCAATAGTCATTTAGTTAAGATTAATCAGTTATATAAACTATGAATATTTTCATGCATTTTATCAACTAAATAAAAACAGATAAAAGTCAGATTGATAGATGATCGCTCGTTTGTTTAGTTACTGACATAACTAAGCAACATCAGTAGCTCAGTTAGAGTAAATACAATGAACACACACAAGAGTTCCACAATCTGAAATAATTTGTACATTAAAATATTCACTTGTTTGGTCAGTTAATTGCTATTAGAATAAGCATTTTCATGTATGAAAGTACAAATTTAGAGTCAGTTTATTATTCTTAATAATAAACAAAAGAACTTTTGACAATTTATGCATAACAAAACACATTAAACTAACACTGTTAACACTAAAGAGTCAGTACTTAAAAGTATATTTCATTAATAAATAGTGCACATTAGTAACATAATTAAACATATTACTGTAACATTTTGTATATGCTATCCAATTTTGTATCTACATTGATACACCGACGTTGACAGTGATTGTTCAAACTATTTAGATTACCAAAATGAAGCATACAGCAATATCCACAAAAAGTAAGGATATTTAATAAGTACATTATTAATCATACCACAACTGACATAATCATTATCAATATCAACGTACCTGAGAAAAGTCCAAAACCACACGAGATTAAAACTAAAGCTGCATAATATCGTCTTACAATCGGGAGCAAAAACACAGTTACACTAGTTAACAACAAAGAGATATTATTCATCCACAATGAATCAGCCCATTTATAAGTTGTAGACCAAGCTATAAAAATTAAGAAAACAAATTATTTACCACTTGCAAATTGCATTTAAAAAATGCTACGGTTAGAAGTAGGATACTATGTAAAATAAAGTCGGATTAATAGATAAATCTGTAAAAGTGGTTAGAAAAGTTTTTCAAGCACATATAACCGTTATCTACTTCAACATGTAATGTCGGGAAGAAAGATAACAAGTGTATTCACACACAACTTCAATCCATCAAGTAATTGACTGTGGATTTGAAACGTATCAGAAGGTACAGACTTATAGGTTAGCATCCTTGAGATAGTTATGATCAATGGTTGGAGATGTTGAGTGACACACAGCAATTTCATAAGTGTGAAATAAGATTTATCATATACCTTCGTTTATATCTTCAGATGTCGTTTCATACATATCTTTCACTCGTTGACCTCTTGAAGCTTTTTCAAGTTATACCTCTCGTTATGCGATATTTTTTATCGCATTATTTTAACTTCACCTCTTGCTATGATAATAACAAACGTAACATTGTGGGATGATTCGAAATTCATGCTAGAATGACTCGAACTGAATGATTATTGAAAGAAACTCACGAAGACGATGAATAGCAGTTGCTGAGGTAAGGGCCGCATTCCTATAGTTTGAGAACGTATGGAACTCAAAACAACTGTCTGTCAACCAACATCAAAGTCACAATCTTCAATACGGACGTCAACACAGTTCTACTGTACGCAGCTCAAACTCGGTGAACCATCACAACCATCAACAAGAAAGTACAAGTATTTACAAATAATTGTGTATACAAGATACTCAGTGTCCGTTGACTGGATCAGCAACAGTCTACTGTGGGAGAGAACAAACCAGCATCCAGTTGAAGAGGAAATTAGGAATAGACGAGGGTAGTGGATAGGACATACATTTAGAAAATCATCAAACTGCATCACGAGGCGAGTGCCCACTTAAAATGCTGAAGGGAAACGAAAAAGAGGAAGGCCAAAGAACACATTGCGTTGGGAATCGGAAGCAGACATGAAAAGAATGAATATCAACTGGGAAGGATTGAGTAGGACAGAGTTTGATGGAGAATGCTGGTGGGATTCTTATGCTACTCCACGAGAGGTAACAGTAAGGTAACAAGTGAAACCTAAATCCCGAATAGAATTAGTTTGTTATCCAGTTGTTGATGTGAAATCACAAATGAAGCGGAGTTATAAAAAAATAGATTTCCAATTACTTAATGAATGGGTATTGGGATTATATGACTATTTTATCATTTTCCCTAAGTCTTACATACTTTATCAATAGGTCGTAGTGCAGTTTTCATTTGTACACAAAACATAACACGGAGGTGTACTGTTTTCAAAATGGTAAAGTGAAAAAAATATGGATGAACTGATAGGTGTTGATTGGATTCTGTTCCGGTAACAACAAGATAACCTGTTTTCCATGCTGTTTACGGCTTGTTATTAATTTTATCGGTATGATAAAAAGTGGTCTGTTGATAAATTCCTAATTCACAAATCTCTGGTTATTTACATTTTGCATAAACAGTTTTTGTAATAAACAGAATGAAAAAAATTGGAACATTTGCTCGACGTCATTGTTCACATGATTTTATATGAAGGCTTGGGATATTCTAATATATTGATTATAGCAAAAATATAGCAATTGAACATTTAACAATAATCAATGCTAAACCATGTGCACACAATCAAAATGAGACAAGTTGGGTTATTCTATTTTCAAGACCAACCTTTTCTTAACCCTCTCCTTCCTTTATGAGTTGGTATACCTACACATAATGACTGTCTAAGGGAAACAGCTTACTGTCGTTCTAAGTCAATGGAACAACAGTAAAAATTCATTAATGGGATGAAGTGAGATGTAGATTTTTAAAAAAATCTTAGCAAAACTTTATGTTATCTATTTGCATTTAGAAATTATATCTCAATTTGAAGCTAACAAGGAATATACTTTACAAAATGATTATAATTTATGATAAATTGTGAGGATAAAATTTGATTCACTTCAAAGTAACATCAATCAACTGAGCAATGATTGAGCGGATATAATATAGGGGCAACAACAACCAGTGGAAAAAAAGGAACAGGTTGTCAACAAATAACTGCCAAAAGGACATCTCAATTTCAATATTTAGGGCATTATCTAGTTAATTATTGTGGTATGTGCTACTTTTATGGAAAGAAATAAGTAACATGTATGAGGAATAGGAAGTAGAATTGTAATGGACAGAGGAGGAAAATGGGGAAAGAAATGAAAACAGAAGCATTCGCAATGACAACAGGAATAGGAGTCTGAGGTTATTAGAAGTGTCTAGGAAGTTGATTCGAGAATTCAGTTAGAAGACGCATTAATTTAAATATATTTATTGAATAATTGTTAAATAACTGTATTATTGTATTTCCATATTTTCTATATCGTGGACTATCATCAAACAACAACAACAACTGTGGTCAAATACTCTATTATTCCTTAGCTATTGCTAATTAATTAGTCACTCCATCTTCCTTTCTATGCTCCTCATGATTTCGTTGTGTATAAACTGTGATTTCCAATTTGTGGTGTGTCCCGTCTCATAATCTATGTGTTGTAAATCTTCATCGACTGAGATGATTGGGCCGTGTATTACGTATGCCTCAACACCAATTACCACGAAGCGCAATGTTGACTAGTGTTAAGAATAGTTGGAAGAAAGTTAGGAGCGGCCAAACCAAAGCGTGGTATCAGTGATTGAAGTCACTAACTTCTAGTCTGTGCCATGTTGGTAGATGCAGACTACTTGGCAAGGGTCCGTGTGACTATGGGTGACATGGCTCAGAATCGATCACATTGGTGTGGGTGTATACACTCTTTGTCTTCCTTTCAACTATAAGATTAAGATCGTTTCATATCTTTGTCTCTACGAACTAATTCTGTCTTTCCGTACTATGTCCTTAAATACAATCTTTTGTATATTACTACCACTGAATTAACTACTTCTATGAATTTGGTGCTGTTCATCTTGTTTTGCTAATGAGATATGGCAACTTGTACCGATGTACATAAGTGCCTGGTCCTACATTGTAACTGACTGACTGACTGACTTAGTCAATGATTTTTTGGGGAAGAATTTCATTTGAGAAGCGGTATAGCTACTGATAAGTGCATACAATTTTTTTTGGATTTCATAATTATTTGACTTAACTTAAGAGGTAATCAATGTTACGAAATTTGTCACGTAGTAACCAATCAGATGTTAAGCTATTCAAACATGACTAGTTGAAATACACTGGATTCAGTAAAGCTACTTATGAGTTTAGTGAACAAATAGTTAACAAAATAATCTTATTCAGTTCATTGGTTTATGGAAATTTATTTATTGTGGATGGAACTATTTCGGACCCAGCAGAGAGAATCAGTTCTCTAAAGACTACAGGTGCACATTGTTGATGGGTGTGAAATACCACGAAACTGAGGTTTAAGGGTTTGATATGGACTACCTAAAGTCACGACACACGAAACGTATATCAACCGCTTCAGTCGATGTAGTTTCGTTATATAATCAACCGGTATTCCATCTTCAATTAATAATCTCAGTCTATTTCATAAACTGGTTACTCAACGGGTACAACACATGCGAGCAACGCTTTCTGGGCGTTTGTGTTTGAAGTCTACCATTAACTTGTGAATACCCTTTAAGTTCGTGGCAGATGTATCACTACCACAAGGTAGAACAGAGCGAATTTCTGTGCAGTACACTCATTATTTATTCGGCAAACTGACAAACTTACCTACGCAAAAGTTATGTGTGCTTCTGGATCCGTGGTAATTTTCAACTACTTACGTTAACCAAACGACGCGTAATGTAGCTAACTACTTTATTTATTTATTGAGTAGTATATATTCCAAATATAAAATAGCCTTGATATTGCGGTGCATTTTTAAGGGCATACTGTACGCAAAATACTCACACACGAGAATATGAAGATTAGAAGATTTTAACACAGAGAAAAATCATATAAAAGGACAATATGGAGGAATAAAGTCGTTTTCATCTCGCTATCTCAAGTTTCTAAACAAAAGGATACACAAACGACGAAGTTTGTATTGTTACTATTTGTTATCAAGTATAACTGAGAGCGGTAAAAGTCTCTGTTGAAACAACAAGCAGGAATGTTTCTTTTTACGTTCAAAAAACAAATAACTCTTACAATAACTTACTGTCAATTGAAACGAAGTAGAGCGTATCAGATATGTTAATAAAATTGTAAATTACGGTTAAATGCGAAAAAAGTTATCGAGAATGTAAGAATATAAGAATTCATTTATTCTTATTAAACTGCAACCGGAGCCACAACAATTCACAAAAGAACTTGAGGAAAGCTCTCTCTCTCAATGTCAACCAACAGTGTGAAACATGTAGAAACTACTAATTGGTATACTTGAAAATAATAACTGACTAAAGAATGGGATGATTAAAACACAAATAAACATACACAAAGAATATTCTATTCATGAAAAAGGATATATAAACTAGATCTATTTAATTTTTTAATACATTGTTCCTACTACGTGCAAAAATCTGTTATTTTTATATAATTTGCTTACCTTTTTCAATGTAGAAGGCTACGTATAAAAGTGGAACAGAAAAGAAAAATAAAAGAAAAAATGAAAAAGAGTAAACTGTCCATAAGTTCGGCAAAGCATTCAACATATAAATAGTATTGATAATAAGAAAAAAACATGTATGTTTCAGTTATGGGAGCACTGGGTTAAGCATTTGAAACACTCAACTAGCAGCCATTAGGTCTGATATTTCTGGTACTAGAATTATTGATAAGACATTCCTAACCGTTTATGAAATCTCAAGAATTTCACTAATTTGAACCCCAAACGGAAGCTCTACTTCCAAGGTTAGCTTATGTACAGAAAGCAAGACTATTCATGGGTTTATGTATGGTTTCCATATTCTGAAAAGTGTCTGGAAATAACAAACTGGAGAAAAAAAGTAACAATCGCGTTAGCCACACATTATCCGTTGTTTATCCCGACGATTCCATTGCGAATGGATTGGACGAAGTGCATTCCCGACCGTAGCTGCTACATTGACGTGGTGGTTGGGCTTGCCTATCGTCATGATCCAACCGAGCTATATTGGCTGGAACATATGTTCCTGTAGGTTCTACCATGCCAGGCAGGTCGATTGGAGAACGGTAAGACTAAAAGCAGCAAATGAAGGTCTGAGGGCGAAGCCGTACTGCTGGCTGTAGAGGATTGTGACAGCAGTAAGGTGTTTCCCTCGGACATCCAGCATCTACACCGCTGCTGCCTTCTTACAAGGAAGGAAAGGGTTAGAAAAGGTTGACCCTAAAAGTGTCACACCTCACCTTACCTCACGGATTTCCGTCTCCGGCGGTAAGGACCTTTGAAGAACGAAGCTGTTGTGTTTTGGGCTTTGCAGTCACGCTCCCGAGCCGTTAAGGCCGACATTAATCCAACTTCCTTTTCAGGTTCATCAAGAAATACCCTTGCGCGGTGTGGGCAGCCGATAAGTGACATCAGCATTCATTCTTCGCCGTCTCTGCCTATTCACCAACTGACTGCAGCTCAGATGATGTAAAAGATGAGTTTTACAGAAAGCTTTCGGACCTTCTCCGAAAAGCTAGCGCTCGGATGTAGTAATAGTGGCCGGTGACTTTAATGCTCAAGTAGGTAAACTAAGCGAAAGGAAAGACACCTAGGTGGATCTTATGGTGTCGTGGCTCAAAGAACAGATAATGGCGACCGTCTGTTGCAGCTATGCTCAGATAACCGCCTGTTCCTTGCAAATACTAACTTTAAGCATAAGGAAAAACATCTTTTAACATGGCGACCCCCTAATTCGTCCCAACGTTGGACCCAAATAGATCACATCGCTATCAGCCACCGATGGAGGGGCTCGATAGAAGACTGTCGCTCATTCTGGAGCACATGCCTAGATTCAGATCATGCTCTAGTGCGAGCGCGTATTTGCTTGCGTCTTACTGGACGTAGGAAAGACGCTGCAAGGAAACCTCTTAGGGCCTACTTAATGATAGTCAAGCTAAGAGTATATTTCAGGAACAACTAGGAAAACAGTTAGGCAGCCATGTATGTGATGCCCACCCCGATGCAGCATGGAATGATATCCGAAAAGCTGTGGAAACAGCAGTGATATCTGCTAGTAAGGTAAACCAGAAGGTTAGGGAGCAACACTGGATCTCAGCAGCATCTATCTCACTGATAGATGCTCGGAAACTCATTCCACCTGGCTCTGAACATAATGAAGAGCGGAGTCAGCTTAAGCGCAAGCTGACAAGAAGTCTACGCAATGATCGCGAACAGTGGTGGGTAGCGAAAGCAAGAGAGATGGAAAAGGCAGCGGCAATAGGTAATAGCAGACAATTGTTCAGACTCGTTAAGGAAACCGGAATTAGGAACCCGACCGTTAGCGAAACAATCTCAGAGAAAGATGGACATATTATTCATTCTCAATCCAGGAGATTGGATCGATGGGCAGAACACTTTAGGGATCAGTTCAACTGGCCTTCAGCCACACTTCGGTTTCCCACGATCTCCAGTCAACCTGAATGGCAAGTTAATGTAGGTCCTCCGTCCCTTTACGAAGTTGAAAAAGCCATAGGAAATCTGAAACGAGGGAGAGCAGCAGGCCCTGACAGGTTTACTCCTGAGATTTTTAAGGATGGTGGTCCAGTATTAGCAATGAGATTAACTGAGGTCTTAGGTAGAATTTGGGAACTGGACGTAATCCCATCTGACTGGTCTCAATCACTGATTGTGCCAGTCTATAAGAAAGGACAAAAGTCCTCTTGTGACAATCACAGAGGAATCAGTTTGACTAATATAGTGTCTAAAATATTAGCTTCAATAATACTTCGACGCCTAACTAAAGCTCGTGAAGAGCAGACTAGAGAAAACCAGGCTGGTTTTCGACCTGGACGTGGTTGTATAGATCAGATATTCACACTACGTCAGGTTCTAGAACACAGACACACATTCAGACGCCCCACAATGGTAGTATTTCTCGACCTTAAGGCGGCATTCGACTCTGTTGATCGTGAGGTTCTATGGCAGTGTTTGTCACTGAAAGGAGTACCAAAGAAGTACATTAACCTTACTCGAACACAACTGGTCGAGTGAGAGCTTATGGCGAACTGTCATCAGAATTGATTACCTCAAGTGGTGTTCGTCAGGGCTGTCCACTCTCCCCATTCTTGTTCAACTTTGTCATTGACGTACTTTTAGAGATAACACTCTCCTCATCTAAATTTCCAGGGGTTGAACTTCTACCAGGAGGTTCACTTGTTGACTTAGAATATGCTGATGACATAGTTTTATTTGGTGAAGACTCTGACCACTCTAAGCAACAATGCAAGCATGTTCGGGATGCGATTCTCCCCCTCGAAATGCAAAATGTTGCTTCAGGATTGGGTTACATCGACACCCGAACTAGTGATAGGGAGTGAAGTAGTTGAGTGTGTCGACCGCTTCACTTATCTTGGAAGTCTCATCAGCCCTTGTGGTTTGGTGTGTGACGAAATCTCAGCACGGATACAGAAGGCTCGACTAGCTTTTGCCAACTTGCGTCATTTATGGCGTAGGCGAGATATCCGTCTATCAACCAAAGGACGTGTTTACTGCGCAGCAGTTCGTTCCGTCCTACTTTATGGCAGTGAAACATGGCCGGTAAGAGTAGAGGATATCCGTAGGTTACTAGTATTTGATCATAGGTGTCTTCGAAACATTGCTCGTATATCATGGGACCATCGAGTAAGTAACGAAGTTGTTAGGAAACGGGTACTAGGTAAGGATGGCAAATCAATTGATGAAGTAGTGAAACTTCATCAGTTGAGATGGCTGGGACACGTGTTACGTATGCCCAACGACCGACTGCCTCGACGTGCTATGTTCAGTGGTATAGGAGTAGGTTGGAAGAAAGCTAGGGGCGGCCAAACCAAAACATGGCACAAGTCCATGAAGTCACTGACAAGTGAACTGAGTCATGTTGGTAGGTGTAGACTACCTGGTTGGGGACCGCGAGATGATAGCAACCGATGGTTAGAGACCCTGAATGACATGGCTCAAAATCGTTTGCAATGGCGCAGGTGCATCCACTCTCTGTGTTCTCCCAAATTCTAATCTTCTGAATTCTTCATGTCCCTTTTTTCCTCTTTCCAAATTTATTTCACTGGATTATACTCTTTAAATAACATCTCCAAACCCTAATCTTCCCGATTACTGCTTATACTCTTACTACCTCTACCACTACGGGATTTGAATCGACAATTGCATCTCTGTGCTAATGTGGTGTGGCAACTCGAACTGATGTACGTACGTACGAAGTTCTACGTTGTTACTGACTGACTGACATTCCGATTTTTTCTAGCTTTAGAAAGTTAGTTCGAGGAAATTTTCAGAGGTACTAATAAGAGTCAGCGAGTTCAAATCCTGACCCGAATTACTTCAATTAAAAGCTTGATAAGTGTTAAATAAAGTGATATCCAAACACAAACAATGTAGCATCAACATGAACAGATACATCAATATTTAGTCGATATATATATATATCACAGAACACTGTAGAATAATAAATGACAAACATGTATGTTAAATGTCGACTCTGATTGATTCCTGGCACAAATATACCATACATTGATGGTTGCAATTGGTATACAACCCAAAAACCTACACATTTTCACCCTTTAAATGCTTACGCTAAAAAGTTTATCTGTTGAAAATTAGACAGTATATCTTATCCAAACTGTAACTGAATCAGTTAGTTTTGTGGTTATATTGAAAAACTAATAGTTGGAATTTATTGATTTTCTTATCTGCAGATGTGATGGTGAAGAACGCAACAAGAAATCGGATTGGTAAATAATAAACGTTCAGTACATAGAATAATTGAATTGAAAGAAAAATACTTACTGGCAAATAAACGTCCAAATGTATTTCCTGCACCAATTGACGAAATGATAAAACCAGAATCTTCAAGTTTCCAATTCACTTCCGCTAATAGATCAGGTAACATTAAAAAAGGGACAACCAATCCTGAATGGGGAAAAAAAACAAAAAACGAGTTCAAGTAACAACAAATATTTCGATTATTAATATGATCTTTGGTCAGTTCCAGCTAATTTCTTTATGCATAAATAATAAAGCAAATTGAGCAGAAGAGGAGCAGGAGGATGGCTATAATGTCCAAAACTTTGAATATTACAATCGCTACAAATTGTGCATACTTACATACTGGCGGTCAGCTGTATAGGTGGTGGTAGGTAACCATGGTTACGTGGACAGTAAACTTTTTCACAATAACCTGATCACACTTGGCATCCCATGTACCCTGAAACATAGTGTAATCTGTCTGGTTTGCTAAGAATATTAATCAAATATTAGGCGATGTACAATCACAAACGTATGTGTAACTATTCGACTGTAAGTAAGCTTGTATATTGATCTCTGAAATTATTTCAATGGGAGAATTAAAAAACCAAAAAGAACAAAAACCCTTTACAAAAAAAGAAAATGAAAAATAACTACGAAAATTAATTTTCATATAGAGGAGTACATTGAACTTAGGATTATTCATCCTGAAGAGAGTAAGGAATGTTATATATGTCAACTAAATGATTACTCAGAGAATATAAACGACGACTTTTGAATGTAAAATAATCCAGTATTTTTTAAAAATAAATAAAGTGTGAGATCTAACATAAACCTTTTGATTATTTGTTCACTAGTGACCAGATGATGATTTCTCGGATCGCAAGTAGGAGGTACTCAAATAAACCAAGAAAAGGGTAAGCAGCAGCACCTGATAATATACCAGCTGAAGCACTCAGGTCATACATACAAGCGACTGCAAACATGATCCACATTCTATTCGGGAAGATTTGGGAGGAGGAACAAGTCCCGACACACGGGAAACAAAGATACCTCGTTAAGATACCAAAGAAAGGAAACCTGAGCAAATGTGTAAACTACGGAGGCATCACACTACTATTGGTACAAGGAAAACTTTACAACAGAGTGTTGCTGAACCGGATGAAAGATTCACTAGACGCTCGTCTTCGAGATAAACAGACTGGATTCCGTAAGGATCGGTCACGCATAAACTGAATAGCGACACTATGGATCGTTGTTGAACAATCAATTGAATGGAACTCATCGCTATACAGCACATTCCTTGTCCGTGAGGTGTTTGACAGCATGAATAAGAGAACCTTATGAAATCTTCTTCGATATTATGGTGTGTCTGATAAAGTCGTCAATATGATCTGGAATTCATTTTACAGATTTTCTATGGATTTTTGAGATTGTCTCAACGAAATTTGAGTCCTCAAGACGTTGAATATCTGATCTGTATCGAAGTCACAACAATAAAAATGCAGTTCTAACTCATTTCAATTGTTATTTATTTATTTGAAACGATCACGTGTGTTTCAATGGCAAGACTTTTAAGAAGTATTGCTAGTGATCAATCTAATAACAAAAACGTGAATTTGAAATAACATAGCAGTGTTGTGCAACGACCGAATATGTAAACAGTGATTCTTAAGAAACTAACAACTTCGAATAAATAACTTAAAATTCTCTATAGAACTGTAGCTCACTGTATCTGATTTGTTGTAAACTTTAGGCCTTCAATAACAATGTAACTCTAGTCCAATCTTGACTCCAATTAGTAGGAAGGTTGGGAATTAGGTTTCTCTTTAGCTAGTAGTATACATCATTAAAGGTGTATTAAGTATATCCATAAGAGAAGTTATGCTCAAACCTTTCACTGAATGATTCCATACACTTACTTGCCTAGGTAATATGAAACCAAAAATACTAGTACGATACACAAAACACAATAAATATAAGAGTCAGCCTACTTTGCTAAAGCCTTGAAAATGACAAACTACTAGTTGCTTACAAAAATAGGAAATTATTCAATGACACTTAAAGATAATATAATTAATTCAGAATTATATTGAAATTAGAAAAACAAATTCTATGTGAATCATGAAAAACCTGCTGACTGAAAAGGAAATTAACAGTTATATTTATAAAAATTAACTGTGTCAACTAAGGACATAACTGAAATTGGACATTTGAACCGATCAATGTGAATATTACTTCTATGGGTATAAAAGACTTATCAAGAAAAACATGGTTAAGGAATAATAAGCCAATAACAAGTTAACATTTGACCAGTGAATCGACCATTTAGAAATAAATAGTAAAGTAAATATATTGGTGGAAAAATTACAGTGAAGCAAACATTATTTTTATTTGCACCGAACTCCTTAATGAAAGTAAATCCTATATTGGATTGCTAGAACTGAATCAATCATAACAATGGAAAATAACCAACTATTCTAAATTATCCACTCTCAGATCAATCAAACTGGAGAAAATCATTACAATTCAATTTATATTGACAACTGGCTTAGCTCTTTCATGTAGCCAAAACACTACGTGGAACACCATCTTTAGGAAATATATGCAAACATTCACACTGAGCTATAAAAGATTAATGTTATTGTAAGCAAAGATGGATGGCGGCTAGCAGTGGAATCAAGGACGCGCGTTTCATTCAATTTGGGACTCGTCAGTTGGATTTACCTGTTTGTGACTTAAGGTAATATCGAGGCAATATGCACATATGCCAATAACACTGATGAATTACAGTGCTTAATATTAATGGGAAGATACAACAAACAACACAAAATGAACTAATGTCATCGTCAGATTCAATTTACTGGCAAACTAATTCAAGTGGTAAAGGTGAACAGCACTGGATGGTAACGTGATCCTATATAGATAACATGTTCGATACAAAATCCAATAGTGATGGTTTCTATTTGTATTTGGAGTGTTAATGTTAACTATAGGAAAATCTCATGTACAGAAAGAGAATTTTCTGAATTATTGTAGAGTCCTCAAATGCCCTGGTACGACCGAGGGTGAGGAGAGTCAGCTCTCATGTACAGCCACTGCCAGGGAAGTCCTACTCAGTGCATTATTGAGGCAGAGGTGTTAATTACGAAATCGAGAGGACGGAGAGCGAATGTCCGATGCTTTAACCGGATCGGTGGATACGGAGGATCCATCTAGGGGAGTTGGAAAACCCTAATTGCAAACCAAAGGTACACTTGAGCTCCAGGATCCTGAGGGGACAAATGGAATATGAACCAATCTATGGCCACTGGCTACCATGGAACTGCATATCCTGACGTCGGCCCACTGCCTTGCGGATCAGACCTGTAGGTCGAAGGCTCCGGGTGCGGCCGCCTAAGAAAACCACCTGCTTCGGTCTAGGAGCCCCGGCATTATCATAGCCCACACACGAATCAAGTGACTTGTGTGGCGCATATGTATTCGGTGCACCTTCTTATTAATATTTATATGTTCAAACAAATAAATATATCTAAAATCAAATAAAACTGATTAGTCCAATTTTATCACTTACCAAGCATAGCCATCATACTTGAGAAAAGAAAAAATAAGAATGTAATATTGGACAACAATTTTGGTGATAATAAATCTTGCATAAATATACCAATTGGACTATATGTCGAACAACAGAATAGTGCACTACCAAATAATCTGATACAATTATCAAAACATTTTGGACAACGTGTATAGACAGCTTCCTCGTCATCATTAATCAGAATTGTATCACGATTATCATCCTCTTCTTCAATATCAATATCGTCTAATCCTAATTCAACAACACCAACATCACCATCATCACCAATATCCACTCCGTAATCTATGAGTTCTTCTTGTAGTTGTTGACGTTGTAAACCAGCATTGGTTATTGTGCTTCCATCATAGTCAATTTTTTGACTAAGACCAAGTTGATTAGATACAGGAGCTGCAGAACTTTCTAAATTCTCTGTATTATTTACGTATCCTATAGAATCAATTCTATCTGAATTTATATTTGCTCCATGCTGATTTATATTGCTACCCTAATTGGAGTTTGTAAAACAGAGAAAATATAAACTGATATTAATGAATATGTATATCTGTTAATAGTTGATTAAATACTCCGAAAGCGAAACGTGTATATTTAGATCATTTCAGTTCTAACATTAAAAGTGTGCTCAACTTGAAGTGAACAATTTAAAATTATCAGTAACTTCGACATAAAATGTAGTTATCCTCTAGGTCATTTCCGGTTGTCGTCAAGTGACCTCATTTGGTTACTTCTGATTGGCTGACTATACTTGTCACCATGTTCAGATTCATGCATTTGTTTCGACACACAATAACTTTAAGGAGTAGTGATACCAGTCGGTTGCACAAAGTGATGTAAGCAGACCGGGGTTCAAATCTGAAATTTAGGGGGTGAAAAGCCAAACGCCTTAATCAATGGCTCCACAACATCATATTTGAGCATTTATACACTTACCAATGGAATAGAGAGTTGAGGTAGGCCACTCAAAGGAACATTATGTACAATAGATTGTTGATTGTTTAGCGGAATAGATGGGCATGGAGCTGGTGGTATAAACTGATTAGTAAACAAATTACTTGAATTAGCAATACTTAAATTTGTCTGACTACAATGCTAAAAAGAAAAAGAAAAGAAGAAATTAAAAGTTATTGTTATCATAGTGATTATATGCTATGCAGAACGATCATATTTTTTTTATGTATCTGGATAAAATAAAGTAAAACAACAGACTATGAACTACATTTAAGAGTTAGTTCAGTCGCTTATCAGTTAATACTCCACATATATACATCTTACGACGAGCATTATTCAGTTTTACGATATATACAGATAATAATGTTATGAATGTTTAATTATAGCTAGTAAAAATCTGACATCAATTGACAGTGTAATAATTCAGAAAGTACTAAACAGTTGTTTTATCTTATTAAATCTTCGATTTCTTTCATCACTAAAGTGACAGAATTAGGTCACTTTCTAAATGTCCTATGGGATAAAGTAATCAAATGAAACTTGTAAATACAAGCAAGAAATGAATTCAAGCCACTTGATAACAGTATTGAACGGTATAAACGTATTGGAGAGAGAACTAAAGAATTTTTTGTTTTCATTTATAAAACAGATAAAACTTTTGCTTGGTAATTCGAAAGTGATATCATTAAATATGAATTAGTTGATGAAGTAACACTTATTTGTTGTGGACATAAGAAATATTGCATTCCAAATTCTAGTTCTAAACTATCACATATCATTGACATTTTTCAATATGAATAAAGCTTTCAATGCTTTTTTTCTCTAGCTGTTTTGATTTCTGTAGGTTGTGTTCCATTTTCCCATATATTACCTTGTCCCTTTATCTAATAGACATAATATAATGGTAGTTTTGATAACATTATCTGAAGTTAAAGCATTTACCGTAACGGTGTGGTAGTATCATTATTATTATTTAAAAAATACCATAAGTTTCTTTTTATTTATTTGACTAATCAGCTATGAGTTGAATAGAATAGAATAGAATAGTAGAAATACCTTATCTACAAGGTGTATACTTTTTCTGAATAATAGAAAAATAATTAAACAACAAAATATCTACCAATTCGTTTGGATCAATGTGTACTACGTTTAAAGGGGTTAGAGATATTGTATCCCATTTAAAGACCTAAATAAGATGTGGGTGGCCTGTAAACAATAACTAGTACTTTTGTGTAATGTTGGGATTCGCATATCGAGCTTATTTGAATGGGTCCTGCAAAAAAAATGGGTTAGAAAATGATAAAACTAAAAGGCAAAAGTGTACTATCAACTGCACTAGAATATAATGCTAGTAGAGTTTTTCCCCAAAACAAAAAACATTTACAACGATGATACTCACTCACAACAAAAGGTTCAAAAAGGCCCAACCCTGAAATTAGTACATCATATCTTGGCAATATATGATCGGTCTCAAGTAGCTATCGTTAAGAGCATAAACTAACCCGGTAGTGAACATTTACCGTAAAGGATAGGAAATTAAATGACTTTTGACTACTAGACAACTATATCAAATTTTTTTTCTATTATAATACAAAAATCTATAATTCAACGTGTGCAATGAATAAATGATATGTGAATTCAATATTCATCAATAATACATGGATTATTTGTGTCAACTTTTTATCTTAATAAAACATGATTGTAGTTACCTTTTATTTTTTTTATTTTAGAAAAATGTCAAAAGCATAGATTAAGTGAAACTATAACTGTCTGCATTCCAATATATACGAATAATAAATTATATCTATATATACATATATATATTCACTGGTCACTGATTAGGAGTGCGTTTGACCAGTCAATATAAGAGAAAGTGGGAAGGCGTTTGAGCGAATGTTTCGCTTTACTTCATATATTTGTCTTTCGTGAGATAGATTAATTTAGCATTTAAATGTACTGAGCATTCAGAACATAAAATTCACAGTCACAATCAATATATGACATGAAACGTATATATATATATATATATATATATATATATATATATATATAAATGTTTCACTAAGTTTTATCTAACCAAATGATAACCTTTGACATGATATATAACTATGAATGTCTAAAATATGATCATATTGTTTTATGTTTCCATAATATTTTGATTATGTGATTACTTTTTTTCTATTTAGATGAGTAAATGAATATATATGACAATTGAAAGCCCATCGTCAAGTTATTCAATTTTTTGTTATTGACATTCCACAACAGGACAATACAAAATCATATCAATCCTAATCACATTTCATGATGAATATGTAGTGTATTCCTAGAAATCATCGAGTTGGATAATCGTATTTATAGTGATGTAATGAATACTATGTATATTGATGTTTGATCCAATAACATATATATTGGCTGTTTTTAATAGGATGTTCAACCAATGTATGTTAGATAACACTATTGTACAATGGTTCCTAAATTAGACAATGACAACCTGCTGTAGTGCGTTTATTCACGGAGAGAGAGAGAGAGATTTTACGACAAGCTGACATTTGATAAGCAAACAATAAAGTAAATGTAACATTGTTGCGAAATATCATAGACTGACTGAAGTTTGACATCTACACCTTTGAAGAGAATAAGCATTAGCGCGCCAAACTGAGAGTCCTGGATCATAGTCCCTGTGATGCAGTCGTGAATGTACACTACCGAGGAGTCTTATACGAAGACGAAACAACTGTCCAGTGCTTCCTGGTTTGCAGAAATGGATCAACTAAAATCGGTTCGTGATTTAAACTACAAAAATAGACATTGGTCTTAACAAAAACAAACGATACACCATCACAGAGAATATAATTAATAAACGTTCTTATTAACTAATTTGTCAATTAACAAATAACTTTAATTGACTCATGAACTCAATTATTAAATAGTTTTTTGTTTGTACATATATTTTGTCAATAAATAATGATTAGAAATTATGCACTTCAACATACAACAAATACAAAATGAATATATTTAGAAATTTCTGTGGTCATATATTAGTATCATATGGTCACCTATTACTACCTATATCACAAATCCAATGAAAATATATTTAATAAAATATACGACCTAAATAGATAAACACACCTCTGGTTGTTGTTTAACATCCGGATGTATAACCGTTGACGGTAAACGAAATGCTGTAGTTGATGAACGATTCGGTCGATTATCTACAACTGTCGCTGGTAATATCGGTAAATTAATACTAAATTTATGACTGATTGGTAATTGTTTTGATGATAATGCTGATGAGTCAACAACTTGACGAACTGGACCAATATAAAAGAAATCTTTTTTATATTGTGGTCTTGACATTTCTTTACGAATAATTAATTGAATATCAGCTTTCATTTCATCGTCTAACAAATCGGCGACAGCAGTATTACCATTATTATTATGCGGATCTACAATACCGATTGATGTAAGATGAGAAGTTAAACTAGCCTCGGATGTGGTACGTTTTAAACTAACAGTCTAAAATGTAAAACAATATTATTCATAATAAATGAAAAGAAAGCAGACACTAACTGATAGAGCAAAGTAAGTGTAATGTATAATATAAAATTTTAAGCACTGATGATTAATTTCCGCTAGATGTTTATTAATCCTCACGAAAGCACACATTTAAAAACATGAAACAATTTATCATTAGTATATGAAAAGTTCCTAAGGAAAAGTGATTAGGATGACATTTATTGTTGAATTCAAGACAAAAGAACTAGTCGGTAGACCGAAGAGTTAATATTACTTTACGATTTATTTCATTTTGCACAGAAAGTCCCTTATTCATAGAACGTATTTTTCGATTGAATAAAAGGCGTGAAAATTATCTCAAGGTCATTTTATTTCATTTTTTGTCTCTATATTTGAAATTCAATTGACAGAATTGGGAGATTTTGAATTCAATCACGTATGAACTAATTACATTGAGTATTCCAGAGAAAATAGAACATCTGCCCCATGTTTTTAGGACTTTTAGCAATCCAATTGGTGATATATCAAGCACTGAAAAAAATGAACTTTATGAAAGATGAAACATTATTACACTCTCTAATAAACATCTGAACTGAATCAATAAAGTTTTTTAAATATATGGGTTACCATAGTCTTTCTCTGTCAGCAAAAACACTGAATATGTCAGGTCTTAAATTCTTTTTGCCTCCTGATTCACTGACTACGTGATTTTTGATTCAATGAGTTCACTAAAGTTATAAAAGTCTGTGCACGTTATTCGAAATAAAAATATTTGAGCGTGACAAAACAATGTGTAACATTTCTGCCAAAGTTGATGATATCATATCAAAATCAGTAAAGTACTGAAAAATCATTCTACGAGCCCGACACCGATCCAATTTACACTACATAACATGAAACAAGCCAGTCAAACAGCCTGAGTAATGAGGATATTCCACAAAAACGGGACAAGTTTATTGCTACAAATGTGAAGTATTGTGAAGGGGGTTAAAATTGATAGATGTAAAATTTAGAAAAATATATTTTAATGATCTCATTTGGTGTTTTTTTTTGAGAAACAATAAAGAAACAATAAAACATCTGGTTAAGGAAACAAGTAAAAAGCAAACCTCAGAAACAGAACGAATCGGATGTATCCTTGTTTGAGCGGGATCACGTCCTGTTGTTGATGGTAGTGGTGGATTAGTAGTACCACTTAGAAAAGCCGGTGAATTCGATGTATTGACAGAAATCATTTGATTATTATCAGAAGGTGTGGGCGCATTTCTAGATCCTGTGAATCCACCACCATCTAAATACACTGGATTTTCTCCAGATGCCAATTGAACAGTGGCAGTATCATAATTGGGCATATTCACGGTACTCTGTATGCATACAAATACACAATACGACATCATTAAGATTTAAAATAACACCATTTTTATTTGCTTGTTTCATGCGGAATAAGACAAATTTTAAACAATTTTAACAGTATATTTAAATTTGTACTTTCACTTACTAACACTTACTAACGTTGGTGGGTATCTGCATACATTAACTCAATGGATAAAGCATTAGCGTTTAATCATTATTATTATTATTCACTAATATATTTTTGGCACAATATAGAATTCTCAGCACAAAGTATTTCAACGAGTTTCCGTTTCTTTCTTCTTGGTCGGTCCTGGCGATAAATATTGAGTGATCGCCAGTTAGTTTTTAGCACTTCAGTGAATGAACATCAGTATGAACATCAACATCAACTACATGCGGGTGTATCCATCTGACGAGCCCAACATAGGACAAAACACGTGTATCAGATTTCAATTCTAGCCAAAGGATAAATATTACTAAAACTAGTGACAAAAGTTTATATCAAGATAATTCGATCGAGATATACATATGACAACAGAGACTGGTCAACTGCAGTGCCAAACATAAGCAAAGAGGAAAGTTAAAATCCTTTGTAAAGTGTTTTATCATGAAAAGAAGAGAATAGTATGTTTGATTATCATTGAAAGAAATATATATGTACACCTTTCATGAATTTCAGAAATTGAAAATCACGTATACAAATAGAAAAGTGAGATGACAGTAAACGTACGAAAAAAAAGTTTATCAAAATTAGCAAGTATGAGGATTTCATTTAATTTAATTATCTGTATTAAAAAATAAACAGTACACACATATCCAGCTTAGTCTATTATAAAAAACACTAAATGTAAACTCCATACCAGATTATTACTGAAGTGATAGTGAACGTGATTCGGATGCTTTAGTTTTAAAGTAATATAAAAATAACACTTTCAAGTAAGATAAAGAATAAGTATACTCTGTATTAGAGTTGAAGATTTATCACATTCTACTGTCTGTTTGCTGATATGTATAGATTTTAATTAAATATTGATATTGAGCAGATAGAGATGTAGTTTGAAGGTAATTTTGAATAAGAGTTAAATAATACATACATAATTATTATTAAGCTCCACCTGTAGCAGTTCTAGGGTTACTGTTGGTCCAAAGACCGGGTAATGGAGGAGGGTTGGACATTACTAAAACAAAGCTAACCAGAATAAACAATTTAAAACATTTGAACTCTACCAATATAAGTTGAAAGATCTTCATTCAGAAGAACTAAGACACCTCGTGGTGAAAGCCAAGATTTTTCGAAGAAACGAGGCCGATAACCCTTTTTAACAACCACAGCAACAATTAATATATGAACATGCAATGTCCGCACAATGTGGGATACCAAGAGGACTAATCAAATAGCTACGGAAGTGAGCAGATACAACTTGACCGTGCTCCGAATAGGGGAAGTCCATTGTATCCAAGCTCGACGCTGTATTCCTAGCATGTTGAGGACGTTCGATCCGCAGAACTCACTTGGAAAAGGTCCTAATTTTGCAATTTTATTCTGAGAATTTGAATTTTATGTTTTCACGTCAAGAGACGCTTGGTTGACCTACAGCTTACAGTTCCCACTAAGAAATCCTTTACTGTCATTGGTTAACGGATTTTTTATTACGCTATTCTTTGGCTCTCCCAAGGGAGTTTTTATCAATCTATATATAAGCTCGATTTGTGTGCTTAGTAACCTCGTATTTTCTGGGTGCTTGTAGAATACATTCTCTACGCCTCATCAAGACTTCTTGATCTAGTTAGCAGAGCCGGGTACAACGGATTAGAATAACCTTCGTTCCGTTTACCGAGTAAGGTGAACTCGTAATAGCATTCAAGCATATCAGACCACGAAGAAGAAAATGCGCCGCATACTCACGGAGTTGCTCTTATGCTGCCCAAACGAGCACGTAAAGCACTTATAAGATGAGAATCTCATGGACGCAGAATCATCAAAGCATCATGCAAAACAAAGAAGGAGGGAATCACAATGAATGTTATCCAGTGTTATGCACTCACCAATTATAGCAACGTGTCCGATAAACATAGGTTTTATGAGAGGCTGCAATCGATCGTAGCGAAGACCCCACATTAAGACCTAACAACTGAAACTGCAAACATGCTCCATATTCTATTCAGGGAGATTTGGGAGGAGGAACAAGTTCCGACAGACTGGAAAGAGAGATACCTCAACAAGATACGAAAAAAAGGAGACCTGAGCAAATGTATAAACTACAGAAGCATCACACTACTGTCAGTACGAGGAAAACCTTTCAACAGAGTGTTGCGAAACCGAATGAAATATTCAGTAGACGCTCAGCTTCAAAATCAACAGACTGGATTTCGCGAGGATCTGTCGAGCCCAGAGCAAATAGCGACACCACGGATCGTTGTTGAACAATCAATTGAATGGAACTCATCGCTATACAGCACATTCCTTGTCCACGAGGTGTTTGACAGCGTGAATAGAAGAACCATGTTAAACCTCCCTCAACATTATAGTGTACCTGAGGAAATCGTCAGTATCATCCGGGACTCATACGACAGACTACACTGCAGTGTGGTGAATGGAGGACAGCTGACAGATGCATTCCCAGTAGTTATATTTTGAAGGGAAAAAGACAAGAGGAAGGCCGAAGATCACACAGCACTAAGAATTGGAAGAAGACATAAAAAGGATGAATAGCAACTGGAAACAACTGGAAAGGGTTGTCCAAGACACGTGAGCCAAGAGAGTAGATTTCAAGGGATTTAGTTAATGGTCCCAGTGGCTGTTAGAAAGATTTATTACTATTACTTATATACTAAATGTCAAATCAAATAAATCTGACGTACTGAGAACAAGTAATAATTTAGAGATATAAGCAACAGTTACAAAGAGATTTCAAGAAAGATGAACTACTGAGTTGAAGAATAATAGACTTCAACTCCACTAGGCGGACCTTGTGTATCCACCTCATTTATTTATTTATTTTAACACATAGATATTGGTACAAGGAGGCACCAAATACATATGCGCTACATAAATCATTCGATTTGTTTGAGGGCTGTGATACTGCCCGGGTGCCCAAACCGAAACAGGTGGTTTTCTTAGGGGGCCACTCCCCGAGCCTTCGACCTGAAGGTCTGATCTACAAGGCAGTGGAGCATCGTAAGAAGATGCAGTCCCATAGAAGCCGGTGACCAACAATTGGTTCATACGCCATTTGTTCCCGCAGGATACTAGAGCCCATGTGCACCATTGGTTTGGAATCCGGTTAAAGCGCCGGACATTCGCTTTTCGTCCTTTCAATTTTTCTCAAACATAATAACATTCATATGTACAAAATATTAGATACATAATTAAGTATGATTAAATGTCTTCATAAGCAATTGAATAATAAGAGTTTCGTAGGTCAATTATTTCACTCAATTAATTCAGACTTAATTATTGGGCATACTTCTTTCTTGAAACATCAATAACTTAGGATTCTCTTCAATCATTAAAATATTGTTGACTAAGTAAAAAAGATAAATAGTTTGTTTCCATAGTTTTTAAATCACAAACTGATCTAATTCAGACCACACTCTTTGTCTGCCCTTTAAGCGTGAGATTAAAATTGCTTTAAGCTTTTATTTCTACGAACTAATTCTTTCTTTTTGCATTATATCCTTATACACAATCTTTTATATATTGCCACTAGTGAAATAACTACTTCGAAGAATTCGGTATTCATCTTGTGCTAATGAGGTGTAGCAACTTGGACCGATGCATATATGTGCCTGGTCCTACGTTGCAGCTAACTGACTACCAAGACTGATAGATGGATGGAGTGGATTTTGAACATGAAACCTCAATGTTTATGGGTCGAGAAAACTAATCAGTAATTCATTGGTTCCTAATTAATACGCATACAAGTGATAAACAAAATTATTTTTCCAACACCTAGTTTTTAAATGAAATGGAATAAAATGTGAATGTTTATCATAAATGGTCACCATAAATTGAATATTTAAAATACAGTACATCGAATGAATGTGCTGGTTATTAATATAATTTAAATACATAGATATATGTGTATGATGAAAAGAATAGTTATACCAAAATTTTAACCTTGACCGATGTGTACAAATGATAATAAGTATTTATTTTCATTTCTCTCTGCATAGATCATTAGCAGAAAAATATCTAGTCTTTGGACAGAATTAGTTCATACATTTGTACATATGATGCATATATATAATTCTGATAATAGTACTTTCATTACATAACAAGTCAATATTAATTATGACGAACATTCCAAAAAAGTGCACTTCAGGCAAAGAGCAAAAGTTTGAGTTGAATTGGCAAAAGTTACTATACTGAACAGCATCAACAAAAAAATTCTAGGTATGTTAGCTAAGGTTGGTTTCAAATAGACAACTACTGAACGAACTAGAAAGCATTGAATATTGATTTTGAAATTCTTCAGAATGATCGAGCACCAAAGACTCCATCACGGAAAGAACTCATGATTGGTAAGTTCCCTGATGAGCACGTTACAATTAAATTTACCAAGTTCCTACTCATTACTGGATCTAGCCAATTTAGAATATGGTACAGCTGTCATTGATGACAATTCGTGCATTACTGTCTTATACAAACAGGATAAAACTGTACCGAACATTAACTTACTAAATGATTTTGTGATACGTGGGCAACGTCTCGAATATACAAGTATAACCTAAGGGAGTTCCCAATACTTATAAGCTCTTAATCGGTAGACATACATTTTACCTAAGTCAGATATAGAAACATTTTGATAGAACAGTTCTTATTCATACCGATTTTCCATCGATCATCAACCATGCTAGTGCAGATGCTAAAACTTTTAAAATAAGAAGTTACTAAATTGTTCTGTTAGCAATTAAGACTAGGCCTAGAAGTTGATCAGTTTTGAAATACATAATATTCCTCTTTTTTTTGAGGAAAAAAAAAGAAACAATTTAAAGCATTTTAATTTTTTTCTGAAAATATAAAAACACATGAGCGTTAGGTGCCAAATCACAAAACAAAAAACAAAGATTAATCTGTAAAGAATTCCGTATTGATTGTTTCTAAATGATATCTATCATTCAATTGTAATTAGTTGGAGAGAAGAAACAACCCCAATAGAAAGATATAGAGAGGGAAGAATAAAGTAAACAAGTTTGTTAATTAAACTGTATGTGTGTGTAGTGATAAGTAACACTATTTCTTTTTAAAAATAACAATTGATAGTTTTAGATTTCAATAAACAATCTTAATGAACAGCTTTGAACGAGAAATAAACAACAAACAATGAACACCAATCAGCAGATTGTTGTTTACATTCCAGGTGAAATAAAGTAATTGCTACTAGATTTATTCCTTTACTTCAGTGATATTTAACTATATATATATATATATATATATATATATATATATATATATATATATATATATATATATATATATATATATATATATATATATATATATATATATATATATATATATATATATATATATTATATATTATATATATATATATACTTTAATTACAAAAGCAGAATCAGGATTGCAAATCTCGTCTTTAATCGGGTTCATCATATGGATGTATTAAGACTAATTTTACTTACTAAGGCTTTTCGCTACTTTGCTCCTACTTCACACAAAAAATGTACCATGACGACAAAAATGATAATGAGGCATTGTTTATGCATGACGAATACTCCTGGAAAGGAACTTTAAAAGAAAGCAAGACACTGTTGAATCCATAGTTGAACCACAAATAATGTCTAGACGATACTTGTGAAATAGTTTAGTTTTCATATTTACCTTTATTAACAACCGAATGACACTGTCAGTTAAGTAGTTATATCGACGTAGAATCTGGTACGAATAAGGATCAATTCAAGTTGCTACACCACACATATGTCAAAATAAGAGTGTATCAACTAAACTTAATCCCTTCACTTATCTCTCAAACAATTTAAACAATCAAGGCACGATAATATTATGATTGTAAATAATATCGAAAGATCTGCAGGAAGAAAACAATTTCAATAACTTACCAATTTCGACATAACTGACGGTGAACGAACAAAGGTATCCGCTGGTGTTGACTGGTCATTACCATAATTAATACTATTATTATTGATGAGATTTGCTACAGACGACAGTTTAGACTGTTGTTGTTGTAAGGTAAGAGATACTTGAGATTGTATGTATTCTTGTACAAGTTGAGGTAAACTCACACGTAACTATAAAGAAAAAAACAATTTGATCGAGTAACATATATGTATACATCGTAGGTTCAGAAATAAGATAAAGGACATACAAGAGCAAAACATATCCAACAAGAAATGCATTAAATTAACTTATATACGTAACATGCTTGAAACTGATCCCGAGAAATTTCGTAAAACGAAATTTAAAAATCAACGTTGTATGCTATCCTAAATGGGATTGATCAACTGACGAAACTGTTGATATTAGCGTTTTTCGAAGGATTCTGGAATTTTAATCCTGTACACAAATCAGTGGCTACTTGAACTCAGTAGCCACATGACTAATGAGATGGCGTTTGAAGAGAAAGGTATTGGGTTCAAGTCTAGGAGTGAACATTATATCTGAGATGAAGGTACATTTAGCTGACGAATCCCAAATAGGTCGGAACGTGTGTCCCAGAACCTACTGCAACTCACTATCCATTCCTGCTTCAAATCTTGTAACTTGATAGCAATATCGAGGTAATCTGTATCGGATGCACATATGCCAATAAGAGACTGATCAATTGCAGTCCTAAAACATTAATGTTAAGATTCAAAAAGCAATCAATACAAAAATGAATTAAATTTCACCCCATTTCACAAGTTTATGGCTATTTGAACTCAGTAGCTAAGTGGATAACGCGATGGCGTTCGAAAGAGAGGGAGAATCCGACTGAAATACCTTTAAGAATTCATTGTATAAACTTTAATCAAATCGTCCCTTACTATCAATTGATTGGAAGGAGGGAAATTATAAGAAGGAATCTATCAATGGTAATTTTAGACACTTTAATATAGTTTCTATGGTTACTGGGATGTAACTACTACTAAGCAAAGCTGTTGGAAAATAAAAAATCTTATTCACCAATATTATCAACAAATAAATCCGAGAAGATTTATTTACAAAATGGAATAGGAAAGTTGAAATAAAAAGCACTATGAAATTAATTCATAGCAAAAATTTGTAAAAAAAAAAGTGGAGTATTGTTGAAAATCAGCAAGTATTAAACAGTTGTCACATTTTCGTTTTCCGAAATCCTCAGTAGTGTGCACTGATGACCATGTTGTTAGTAGTAGGATCACACTCTTTCTGTATACAAAGGTCATGTTGGAAGCGCTTGATGGCAATGGCCTCTGAAAACAGATTGATGTACGTTAGCTGTTAATTATTTTGAATGGTTTTGCGAAATCCACGTTGTTTACTATCCATTAGATTTTTAATGGTCTTACTTGAAAAACTTAACTTCCTTTTATACACAACTTACAGGGAATATGTTCCGAAAACCTTAGATGTTCCATTTTCAGTCCTTTCTATGTACTTGCATCCACAAGTACATGTGAATTCGTAAGCACATTTACAGGTGACCTCAGAAAGGTATTGATTCACTTTTGATTGATTTAAGTAATATCTGGTACTATAAACCGAAAATAGTTGCGGTGCAAGGAAACATATCTTAAGCGCTGGTTTAATCCTTTTATGGATTCTGCCTGAAATCTCTTCACCTTTGAATGCAAGTCGGATGAAGACAGGTTTTCTGTTAACAGTAGTTTGTTAATCATTTTTCTGTTCTTCATAATAGATTTCTTTGAATATCTATTTTTATGAGCCACTCTTCAATATACACTATTTCTTCCTGTATTTGTCGGTTGAAGACAACCTTCCAGCACTATTAAATAGGGTTTAGACTAAACAGGATGAAAATCACTATTATTTGATGGTGTTTTGAAGTAGTTCAAAATAATAGATAAAAGTGGATTTGGATTCATCGGATATGATGAAAAGGGTATGTTGGTCCATCATTGATAATTTTTGAGTATCAATTTCGCCTACCCATCTCCCTCTCTTGACTTTTCATATATATTATAAAATGGGCTATAGATAGTCAGATTATATAGAGCGAATATTTTCTGGTGCATACATGACAATTTTGATTCTCTTATAATATGTTTAGTCTGTTGATCAATAGTTCTTTTACCTGATGATAGCTACACGTATTAATGTTCAAGGATCGATTTATAGCAACTCTCCTACAATCAATTTCGATTATGGTTAAATTTTAGTTAAGTCCTTTTATTTACTTACTTGACAGACCATGTTATTCGAACAGTAACAATTCACATATTTCTTTGTACTATTATGATCTCTATCATATTTGTATAAACGTGTACTCTGGATCACATGACAACCTATGCACATCTCTCCCTAGCTTAAATTTTAATATCGCTCGACGAATCATTTTCTTCCCCGCGTATATATGTACTCTAATCCTATTATTAACCTTTACTTTGCCATGCTGTACCCTTGTGCGATTTGTCTACAAATTTGCCTCTGTATTTACTTGCACATAGATATTCGACTCTCTCCTTTAAATTCGCTTGATGTGCTTAGAGCTTTGTGATTTGCGCTACCTGCTAATAAGCTGTAGCTCCCGCGTCTTATTGCCTTCTGATTTCAAACACTGTTGAGATTCATATTATAACGGTTATCGAGGTGATTCATTAAAGTAAAGCTACTACATATTCCATGAGCGAATTATACGTCCAACCACTTTGGTTATTTTACAAGTGTGCATAGAGCTATCATGACAGTCCCATGTTTATTACTATCATTAACTGATAAGATTGAAATGTCGAAAAACATTGGAAAATTTTGATAAAAATTTGTCAATGAATGTTAATAAGCATTAGCTTTCGTTTGAACTAAAATTCTCGTTAATTCGTTCCGACTTTATAACACAATTCGTTATATGTAACCCAATGATTAAATGGATGTTTATATACTTATGTGCAAGCAATTCTACTTTATCAGACAAACCGAGGTATACAAGTGTAGGAGTCGAACTTATGACAATAATCAAAAGTTGAATGAACTAAGCATTAAGTCCTATACAACTTCAATTGTAATAAAACATTTACTCAAATATATGTAAATCATACAGATCAATTCAATGAGCTTTAAAATATGATCTACAAAATAATATTGAACAAAATTTATCAGATGGACGAGTGTACAGTTTTGGTGTATATTCAGAGGATGAAGAACAATCTACATATTGAAACATTTATATCCATAGGTCATAAAAAATGTAGGGCAGTAGCAGTAGTAAACGGTACTAGTGGTAGTAGAAAACATAGAAGAATGAATTCATAAAATAAAGTGTTTTTAAAAGTCTACAACTATAGAAAAACAAAGAGTGAATGGATCTGTGCCATTGTGACATCTATATGGTAAATTTTCATACGTTACGTGTATATTAACAAATCAAATATGAAATAAATTAGTCTATTTGCCAACTATAGATGACTTATGTACTTTTTTTTAGTCCAATCATTTGTGATATATATTTCTGTAAATGATCACGATGCGACTCAATTATTAAAGGTAAAAGTTTGTGTAGTAGGCTTTGGGTAAAGTTTTCCGTTTTGTGTAAGCATAAATAATATTGTCAGTTTATTTAAAATACAGTTGATAGCTTGTTCCTAACTCAACAAAGTTAGATGGTGATTGGAAGATTATTGTAAGTGAATCATTTATCTAGCTAACTTTAGGTCACACATATTTTTATCTGGATTAGTTCAGTAAATCAGATATTCTTATAAGATTAACACATTACTACTAGAAATTTTTACGAGGTCCAAGCCGATTTGACAACTGTTTTTAATCATTAATAAGAAATAACAATATTTTCATCAATTTAATAGTGGCTATCTAACATCCGCAAATTTGAACAGCTTAGTGCAATCTTGATAACCAGTATACATCATGTGTGACACAAGGCAGTACACAAACACACACAACTATGTATCACTCTAAACAATCGTAAAAGTCAATGAAAAACTCACTATTTTGGCATGATTATCTTGTTAATGAATAATTTGCATTTTTTAAAAATATATAAAATGAGTACAAATAATAATCTATAATAAATGACAATTTGAAGATAATATAGACAAGTACAATTTATGTTGAATAAAATGATTGAGATAATGAATTATCAGTGTGTGTTTCCTAATTTCCAACAGTTATCAAGTTGAAATCAACCAGTAAGTGATATAACTTAATCTTTCAAATAAACAAATAACATATCCAAATAATATAATCATATGCTCTGAACTCAACTACTCGTTTACCAGGTGCAGATTTGTGCATTTGGATGTATTAGGCATACTTTCTATGTGTTATAGCCTAGTGATACTATTATGTTTGACAAACCGAAGTAGATGTAGGGAGGTCCGAATTTGCAACATAGTAGTTGGAAGTCAAATATTTAATTCATTGAACAAAATATGTGGGATCAGTTCATAAATTTATTAAATGTTGATCTGAGCGGTTGGACAGATGATGAATATTTGGTTGAGGTCCGTGAAATAACAGATTAGTGATTGGAGAATTAGGGTAGAATCTCTAAGAGTCGATCATCTTAGTGCACATCTACTAACTCTTTATCTTCTCCTATATCTTGAGCTACAAGACTCCTTCATGCTTGCCATTTTATTCTGTCTTTTCTAACCATGTTCTCGATGGTTAGTCGTTCATATTATTATTGCTGCCATGTGATTTCCGTATCATTTACCATTTTAATATTGAATGAAAAATTAGGCTTATGAACATCTGTTCAAGGCACTAATTTAGTAATGACTGACTTCTGAGAAGGACTGAACATTGAAAATACATTTCGAAAAGACAGTATAGAAAAGTATGTATGAAAGAATACTGGGATTCGAGATCTAGGGGAAGATAAAGCTTGAATTACACCTACTTATTAATCTACCATTGTAAAAAAAATCACTATCACTCATTCTTTAGTTTCACCCACATACACAAGAGATCCTTCAAATGTACCAAGAACTAAACACTAAGAACCTGAAAATATCTTCTGATTTCAGTATATGTTTTATAATCATGAAAAAATACATAGTTGAATATTGCACGATTTGTATTTGATGAGTAAATAAATATTTTAGCTACGCTATATATTATGTATGATGACAATTACCAGAAGAAAATGAATACGAAAAGATGAGTAAAGCATATAATTTGTAAAATGATAAATTGTTCAAGCGTTATTCTCAGTAACAACGATAATAATATTTCGACAAGCACTAAATAAATATAACATCGACGATCTATAAAAAAATGAAAAATTAGCTTACTTACACCAGTTCGACTGCCAAGTGTTGACGTCCCGCCTGAGGTAGGTACGACACCGGTATTATTATTATTCATATTACTATTGACATTAACGCCATTGACAACTGATAATTTCGGTGCAATAGCATTACTTAACTTCGATTCAATTTTACGTGTAACATTCTCAGATATTCTTTGTATTGTAGTAGGATCACATAATGATTTATCTTGATTAATTATTTTCGATGCAGCTATTAATTCATTATCTCTTGTTATAACCATACCATCTAAACTGCCAACAGATATAGTACGTTGACGTTTTTTCTCTTCAATAATACGTTGCATTATTGATCCACTAATAATAATAATAATAATAATAATAATAATAATAATAATAATAATAATAATAATAATAATAATAACAATAATAATAATAATAATAATGATAAATACCAATAATAACACGGTAAACACATGATACACCGATAGGATGAGCAGGGAAAGAAGAACGATAAAACAAAGTGAAGGAAAAAGAGTTACATAGTTTATAGTAAGGATAGAGTGGATGAGTTTCATATTATTATTTATGCTGAAAATTATTATGGATCAGCATGATATTGATTAAATGAAGAAATAATCAGTGCTAAATAAGAATGCAATATATGAATAACTGTACAGCATAGAAGAGACGTAATCACAGTTAGTTACATTCATTCTTTTTCACTCATCAATTAGAAACCTTTCACTTGGACGAAACAATCAATCATAATTGGACGAAAAATCTAACACGATTATGTACACTGGTCTGAGAAGTCACAATCAGAAAGACAACAGACAGCATGATAAGTGAAGGAGATTTAATGTGAACTTCCATGAGAACATGAACATGACAAACACGTTTTAAAAGAATAAATAGGATCGTAAATGAAAAGCAATGAATAGAAGTGTTTCACCATTCTTGATTTTCCACCATATGATTAACGCATTTCTAAGTGCAGATTGCGACTACTGCACGGGCTTAAGTCGGACAATTTGTGCCTTCTGAAATGACTGAGTTTAGATCTCGTTGAAAAATAACGCATCTTTACCTGCTAAATTGTATGTCAGAAAGCTTTGGAAATTTGAGTAAACAATGGGTAGGCAAGTAAAACACATCCTAATCAATTCGATAGATGAGTCTTACACCTTAATTTATTGAATTGCTCACTGAGTCAACTTGCAGTCTCGACAGATCGGAATTATCTTAAGAAAAATAGTGCAGAAATGACTTCCTAGTTTAAGTATCTCATTTTCGAATGATGGATTGTAGACTCATAACCTGCGATTCAATACCTAAGTCACACTTTAAACAGCTGAAATGTATCACTAGCTATTGAACAATATATGTGACTGAAAGCTAAGTAGCATATTGTGTTAGAAAAAGCGATATCAATCAATATTACTAAAAATAAAGGATCTGAGAGAGAGAGAGGTAGAAAGTAAATGATTGAAAATCGTAGAAAAACAAACTCACCGATAAACAATTACACGGCGACTAGGTGTCCTTTTACGATTAGCCGTTCTACTAGATCCTTGATTTTGATGATTAACTGAACGATTACCGGTTACTGCATTTGATCGTGTATTCATTACACCAGGACTTTGTTGTGTTCGATTATGTGAATTAAAAATAAAATGTTTATTCTGACGTCCATTTCTTGTTTGATTGGTATCATGAATACGATTGTACTGTGTAGAGCTTCTTCTACCGCCACCAACCCCAACGATTCCACCACTACCGCTGTCATTTGATTTTGAACGATATTCACCTGGTTGACATTGAAAACCTGGTTTATTGCCGTTAATATCATTAGTCATCACAACAGGAGCTGTATTCGAATGTTTTTTTACACCGACGGTATGAGCTGTAGCGGCTGCCTCTAGTGCTGCCAGATATTTACGTCGTCGAGCTTCTAGTAGAACACGTTCTGCTTCAGCACGACGTAGTGCTGCTGCACGACGAGCAGCTTCACGTGCTAAACGTTTGGCTTGTTGTGCTTGAGTTATCTGAAAGTGTACATCCCATGGGCGAAATAATAAAATAAGTGTCTGGAAAGAAAAAAAGGAAAAGGAGAACTAGATACTTAGTTACTTGTTAATGTTATAATTAAAAAGCTTTCTATTTTAAAGAAAAAGTAGAAAACATGAATTTCGTTTTTGCGACGCTAAGTACTAATCCAGTATGTCTATATAATTAGTAGAATACGGTTCACTAATGAAATGGATTGATTGTATACTTTTTCGGATTATTATTATTATTATTACTATTATTGTTACTATTATTAGAGTACATGTTTGTGTATTAGGCAGTGAAAAAATTTTACTGTACTATTAAACTGATGGAAAAAGAAATAGGATAGAAATCAATAATCAAAGAGTCAAGTGGTTAAAGCAAGAGAGGATAGAGTTGAAATATAGTCATGTCAAATGTAACAGATATTCTCATTTTGGAGCCTCCTCTGTAATCGTAATCTATAGTAGGATATTTAAGGTGAACATAATTTGAAACCGGTAATAATACTATAGGTGCATTTATTTCTTATCTTCTACAAAGTCTTTAATATTATTCATTCAGCATATTTTCAAAATATGGCACAACTTGAATTGATGAATATATTTGTACCAATTCAAATTGTATTTAATATGGCTTGAACTTTATTTCTATTTTAGTTTCAATGTATCATCAATCTTCAGTAGAAGGATGTCAGGGAGAAAACAAGTTGGAAACTCGTGTATTATCACAAACATTAATGGAATACAGTCATTTGAAATTTTTTTAAAGAACGTTATTTTACGACTAAATTGACGACTTACAAGACATTGAAAACAAACTGCAGCCAGTAAAATCAATGTCCCACGCCATGTGAATAATAAAACTAAGCGTGGAATTGCTTGACCACCGACTAAACAACCCATACCACTGCCACATAAGGCTAGGCCAACAGCTAGTGGACGTTTCTGTTGAAACCAATGTCCAACGGTAGCTATAGCCGGTAAATAGATAAATGATAGGCCAATACCTGTTGAATAAACATAAATGACAAGCAATAATAATAATAATATGTAAAAAAAATTACACAGATCGACGATACTCAACCAAGTAATTAACAGAAAACATGAATAATCGAAGTAACCCATAGTGTCATTGAAGAGAAATCAAAGACAATTCAGTGAAGAAAATTTTCTCTTTCACAATATCACTTACTCAACTTGAACAATCATGTTTATAGTTAATCAACAAATTAAATAGTCTATTGAAAATTAGGGCCACGATTACATCATAACATGTGTTAAAACAACGTTGCTTAATGAACAAGAATTTGAAGAAACGAAATAAGATGATATCTAGCGTATGAAAGAGAATTGTCCACTTGACGAGTATGAGACGAGTGAAGTATAAATTAAAGACATGAACGTGATGATGAATAATGAAAACTAAGATTACAAATATCAGAAGGATGTACTAACAATGAAATTATACTTTGTGAAAAGTTTTAGGGTCATGGAAGAATGATGGCTTACACATATCTCTTTTGCACGCATAGTACAGGTTTGAAAAGATGAATAGTTAACGCCCTAGGGTCCATAGCTTATTCAATTTGTGCTCCTCTCGAACTAAATCGTCTGACTGTGTAGATGATTTTAAAGGATCATGTGACCAGAGTTGGAAAGATTATTTAGTATTGAACTATTGCTTGTTCTGCATTCACATTTCGAAAGCCACACAGTATAATGTTCTGAGATGCGTTTGACAAATGCCCGCTTTGTGTGACTAACGTAACCTGCTCCACAGGAGCAAACAAACTTATAAATACACACTGATGTGGCTTAATGAGAGTTCATCCTTTACACCTCCACGAAAATGAGGTAACTGGAAAGGACTATGTGAAGCTTGGTACCATAAAACGTTTCCCTCAAAGATTTCATCGGACGAATTTTCAAAATTTCCACAGCACAATCTCTCTTACACACACTGTTTATTGTATCTATCTCTTTTTAACATTGTACTTAATAATAAATAAGAAATTTCGTCTAAATTTGAACGAATAGTTTCACAATATTTGGGCGCCGAGTTAATTTGAGACAACAAAATTATCGATAATTTTGTTGTTTGATTATATTTTCCTTGAAAAAGCTTGGATCAGATTGCCAGGCGAAACGTTGGATTTACTTAAAAATTCATTCGCTGAGATTTTACAAATACATTCTTCTTTTTTTATTGTACTTAATAATTTTGGAAACAAAACATCAACCCATACGTATGTGAGCGAGAATATATCACATCATTCTACTCTTCGTTATTGTGCTTTGTTATTTGTGCTACCTATTAAACCAACTCAACCATGTTACTTTCTTTAATGAACAAACTTTAAGTATGAGCAACATTCTCTACTGTCCACAAAGAAACGGAAAAGTTAGCCAGCATGGAGTCTCATTACGTAATCATTAGGATAGTCCTCTGTATTCATTGTTTTACTAATGTATTTCAGGAACAAACAAACTAGTGATCACTTATGTTTATCATAGCTATTACGCTGATCTTAAGTATTCTCTGATTAGTAGTTACTTTCTCTTATAATAGTAATATTATTAAGTGTCCCGATGATTCTCATCGTCACTATATGGACAGACTTACTATATCACACTTTAGGCTTAATCTGGAAACAAATATTTTCGTATAGTCGTCAGAAACCATTTTCTCTTAACATTTATTGTGATGCTAGAGAAATTGTGATTCATGTAGCAGACGCAGTTATTGGGTGCGAATAAACAGTGAAATTTATCCCAGTTTCTTATCACATAAGAGTAAAAGATACTCCAAAAGTAAATAGCACATCAGTGCTATAATACTACTATTGGCTAACTTCTTAGTAATTTCGATCATTGGTAAAGTGTGATTGTTCAAGCTAACGGTCTTAAATTAGCGATAAGAATAATAAAAAGACAATAATAGGTCAAAAATTATATGATGAGTATATCTGAAAAATTGCGACAATATGAATATGGTCTCCATATGATTATATTACATCATACTGAGAAAAAACCATGCGACTATGGAATGAAAAAGTACCATCCAGCAAAAGAGAGGGATATAAGGTGAAAACTATGAGACTGTTGGTAGTTATAGTATAAAAGGGTTGAGTAATTAGAAAAGGAATCACTGATGGATTGGATTGTTAACACTTGTCCTTACTGCTACAAATCGGGTTGGAATTTATTCTTCCGATTACATAAAATATAAGACTTCTCAATATCCAGCAGAAAAAGCTGGCTAATGAATCGACGTCACGTATGATTTTATGGGACTACGAAGTAGACAAACTCCGTCTGGAGCCATTCTAGGATTACTCCCGGTCCGAAGCCCGGGTAGAGGAGTGAGGTTAGATATTGAGATAGTACCTCCATCCAGTAAAAAAGAACCTTGTTAAAAAGTGCTAGCCAGAGGAAAAATTAAGTATACACAAGTACACGCTAACATATTTATGAATGCGTTTAGCAACATATCCGTTTAAACAAACATACTTTACTTGAACGAAACAATATGTAACGCTGCTAATGAAAGAAGAAAATGTTTGAAATCTATAATTTTGGAATATTTTGTGTGTGTTGAACACTTAAATCTTTAGACAAACCAAGTCATCGAAAACTAGGTAAAGTTAGTATGATTACACCGGAAAATATGTCGCCAAGCCATGAACAATATAGGCTGAAGATCTAACTAGATCTCGAAAAAAAAATTGAGCACTTAATTTTCACATCAGCAAGAAATTGTAGATTTCTAAGATCTGTTTTCCCAATAATTTGCGGTAATTCCTCTATCTATTCGCTTTCCCATAATTAATCGTCATATAATCAGCTTTAAAATAAAATACTTGATTGAAATCTGAAGACACTATCCTATCCCAATTGTCCAAATCTGAAGAACATAATAATATGAGGAGAAGATGGTAAAAACCTGTAGTAAATATTTTAGAAGTCACATTATCTCTCAACAACGAACTTAATTAGCTACAACGGCAATAAACATTCATCTTGCAAACTTGCAGACTTGAAGAAAATACTGATTGTTCTGGTTTTAAGTTTTGAGCAGAATGCGCTTTAAATTCAAGGAAGTTATTAGTAATGACTTGTTTGTCAATGAGTGAAATTTACATCATACAAAAAGCAGTCTTGGTTACAAAAAACACATTTTAAGTGAATAGAACTTTTATCAATTATATTATGAAGCATTCTGTTATCAGGACTGGGAAAACGTGATAATATATATATATATATATATATATATATATATATTATATATATATATATATATATATATATATCACTACTACTTACCACCAAGAAGCCCAAATGTCAATGTAAACACTTCAATGGTTGTTACAAAAGCACTGCTTAACAATGCAATTGTAGTAATAATTGCACCAATCATAGCCACCGGGCGAAAATCAAATTGATTGCTCAACGCACTAACGAGTGGACCTATAGTGGTGAGACGGGGAACAGCATAATCGACAATGAAAACAAAAGATAAAGAAATATACTGAAGATAAAGTAGAATAGTGATTGAAGTTTTTGAAGTAATATATTTTTCAGATCACTCCTCGACAGACTATTAGTAAATACAAGAACATATCAATATGACTGATTTAAAACCATTTTTCTAATTCAACTAGAAAATTTTACAAGTCTTAAGTAGACAGTTTAATTTGAATGATAAGAGGAACCACTTGAAATGAAAATCATCCGTCATTAAATTATTACCTAGCATTATCCGTGTGAGGCATGCGATGATGATAAGGAGCCCAAACTGAGGTAGGTGTTTTTCTCAGAAACACTCGTGGTTGACTTAAAGGTTTAGTTCACACGGAAATGGTGAGATTTTGGAAGATGCGCTTTCATAATATTTGGTGGTCAAAACAAATCCGCACACCACTAATTCCCTCAGAATCCTAGACCTATTGTATCCACCAACCTGATCCAAGTGCATGACGTTAGATTTACTCCCACACTTATATAAACGTTATCCGACCACGTTAAGACAGTAAGAACATCAAAGGAAGAAGCTATAAATGAGTGGCAATACGAGAGCACTTCAAAAGGGAAATCCCACTCTTCATTTCATCAGCCTTAATAGGACATTTAGCAGCAAAATATCAGTCAACTGGTCGGTCCTTATCTAGAATGCTGCTACTTTATTAAATCCTTCTTTCTATTACACGAGCATTCGCATTGATATTTATAAATAGTTTATATAAAAAAGTGACCATGTGCATGCAACCAATGTCATGGTGTTGTTTACGAAATTGAGAGGACGAAAAACAAATGTTCGGGGCTGGTGTATACGGAGGATCCACCTAGGGGAGTTGGAAAACCCTGACTTCAAACTAATGGTGTACATGGGCTCCAGAATCCTAAAGAAACAAATGGAGTATTAACCTATTGTTGGTCACCGACTACCATTGGAACGTATCTCCTAACGTTGCTCATTGCCTTGTGGATTAGACCTTTAGGTCAAAGGCTCGGGGTGTGGCTCCCTAAGAAAACCACTTACTTCGGTTAAGGCACCCGGGAAGTATCCCAACCCTCACACAAATCAAATGATTTGTATGAGTGTTAGTGATACACCCGGTTGCTCCACTGAGGTAGGTGGAGGTTTGAACTTCCGACTTATATATATATATATATATATATATATATATATATATATATATATATATATATATATATACATATATATATATATATAATAAACAGAAATGAATAATTACGTATGAATCAATGTTATCATGCCTTTTTGGTATTTGTACGTGATAAGCTACATTGATAATTAATTGATTGATACTTTTAAATGAGACCTAATAGTTGACGTGGAATAAAAAAACTTTCTACGGATAAATACAGTAAGAAAAAGTCATTGTTTACAGATATATATATAATAGGCCTGATGGAAAAACTTCCAAGATTTTAAAGGATGATTTACTTTTACCCTTCGGGAGGTTTTGGAACTTTTTGACGCCCAACAATAGTCGTATTCCTTGACTTTAAGACGGCGCTCGACTCTTTTGATTGTGAGGTTCTGTGGTAGTGTCTGTCATTTGAAGGTGAACCAAACAAGTACACCCAATTACCACCTACCTTAACAAGCAACGTTGTCTGGTTTAGGAGCAGATTGGGGGAAAGCTAGGGGTAGTCAAACCAAGACTTGGCACCACTCTATTAAGTTATTTACAATTGGACTGAGTCATTGTTAACAGATGTAGATTATTTAGTTGGAGTTCGCAATCAATCGTTAGAGACTTTGAACGACACGACTCGAAATTGCTTGCAATGGCAGCGGTACATCCATTTTATCTTACCTTTGATCCTACGTTTCTCAATTCCCCAATATTTTACTCTTCTTTTGAATGGTGTCTTCGATGCCTAAACTATTTCATTACCACTAATATCGCTACTACGCCTACTAATCTGAGATTTTCCCTGGCAATTTCATCTCGCTGTGTTATTGTACGAAGTTATACATTGGGTTTGACTGGATGAGTAGAGAACCTGTAATCCACCAGCTGACTGTATGGGACGAAACAATGGAAGACATTTCAATGAACGAGACGATAGTATTAGAACTTTTCTCGCTATAAACATTACTTGTTTATACTGCCGTAAAACTCTTGCTAGCTTTGAAGAGTTATATGGAAAAGCCAATAAGAATCTTTATTTCCTTATATCACATTATAACTACAAAAAAATGAAAGATGGAACTAAGGGTGCATATACGGTTTCAGCGTTTAACTAACTAACACACTTTACTCCATTCCTCAGGTACAAATGGGTAACGCTATTTGTCGAACACCAAGACCATAACTGGCCTATCCGCTCTGCTGCTACTGATGTGGGCTTTTCGTCCAATAATATTAAAAATATTTAGTACAGTATACACTATTCTCCACAATTTCGAGTTATTAAAACCTTAAAATTCACGAAGTAAAACTTAGTCGATAGGGTTAGATCATTTATTCGTCACGGATGATATATTGATATCGAAAGGGAAAACATCTAAAATACAGTAACATAGTACAGTTAGCTTGGTCTTAGTTTTAAGACTCCTGAGCAAGACGTGCAAGGAATTGAATTCATCAATATCAAGTCCTTCATAAACCTCTCTCTCTAATAATGATTACTACTCAATCAACGACCGATTTGAGTTACCACACTTAACAACTCTTTTCCTAAATTCACTTATATTTCTATCAAAAAGTCAAGAGCATTTGTTAACTTACCAAGAAATAGATATAGACCAACTATTAGACCACCAGGAGTTAATAAAATCGAACGTTGTTGTATTTCAAAATCTTCACCTAATTCTGAAATTGGTATACAACTGCCAATGATTGGTTGGATAATACGATCATTACGAGGATATTTAATTGGACCACTTTCATTGAATTTCCGTTCATTTGGTGATGATGATAGTACACGTAAATTAGAATATGGACAGACTGGATTTATTAATAGACCATAAGTGAAACATATTCCATCAACTAGCACCATACAACAAAATGAACCGAGCACAACAAACCAACCCCAACCACCGTCAGATACAACATCGTGTGCATTCAATTCTAATGTTATTATAACCGAGAAATACAAGAGAGAAAGATAGAAACTAGGAAATTTGAAATAAACACAATTATTACATTAACACAACAGACAAATGGTAGAAATTGTTTGTTTGCTTTCTTTTAGAAAAATAATCAAATTTTGCAAAAAATACCATTCACATATCTTTGGCTTATACTATACTACTTATTATTGTTACTATCCAGAATAATTATAATCATATTGACAACATTCAGTCCATTTAATGAGGATGGAATTATTTTTATAGCACAACGGAAAAACCATTCAGACAGGTAAACAACGTGGTGCGCACATGGGATAAGTTGACATTGATCTAAGTTCTATGTCCATACTTTATGCTAGGACGGTGTGAAAGGAAATTAACCATAAGATGACAAGTAAAAAGCATCAATATATCACTTAGTTTAAATGACAGAGAACGAAACAAAAACAAACAAGTTATGAAAAAAGACAGGAACTGATCAAAAAGATCGACTTTAAGTTATAGTACCTACAATGGTTAAGTCCTAAATCTCAATTACAGTGCAGACTTCAACCAGTAAATTTATATTCCCCAACATACCCTAGATAAACAGTCAATGACTGATGCTATCTCACCAGCACTTATATAGCTACCCAGATATACGAACTTCTCAACTGCTATCAGCTCAGTACCCAGAGTGGGTGTAGGTTCAGGGTCATGCCAGTCTTGTAAAAGTACTTTGCACTACGAAGGTGCAAAGCATACCTACGAATGCTGACTGCCAACTGATTAAGTGAGGGTTGCATCCCTTGGGTATCACCGCACAGTAAGACAATATAATCCACATACTCAACGTTGAGAAGTCTTTCTCCAGGTAACGTATCCACACCACCATTACCTACACCCATCAGAGCTATTTCCAGGACGTCATCGATGGCAAAGTTGACGAGGGATGGTGAGATTGTGGGACCCTGACTAACCCTACTGCTTGAATGGGACAGTAGATAGAGGTGGTTGTATGTCCTCACTCTGCCTGAGTTTTTGTATATAGAGCCTTCAAGGTGCTAATATACTTCTCAAGAACACCCTCCTTCAATAGACAATCCCAGAGAACAGTCCGATCCAGCAAGTCAAACGCGGTCCTGGTGTCAAGAAACACAACGATTGTTGACCTGGAATAAGTATGTCAGTATTCTAACATTTGGTGGAGATATTATCAATACATCCTCGACCAAAACCGGCCTGCTCCTCGCGAGTCAATCTTTCTCGTGTTTTGAACGATCTACTAAGTATGACGGTAGCCAATAGGTTGAGCGCAATCAGAAATAGACTTATCCCTCGACATTTGTTGCATAGGTGATGTGATTTGTATCCTTAGGATCCTGGAGTCCATGTGCACCATTGGTTTGGGATCGCAGTCTTCCAGTTTCCCTGTGTGGATCCTCCGTACTCACTAAACCGGTTATAGCCCCGGACATACCCTTTTCGTCCACTTAATTTTGTAAATAACACTTTGTGACGGAAGGCAATGAGTAGAACTTCCTTGGCAGTGGCTACATATGCGTAACCGTGTGAAAACATTTCGAGGAGAGCGGACTCTCCCTACCCTCTGCAGTACCATGACATTTGGGGCCAGGTATCATTTATTCAGATCATGTCATTTCATTTTATCTATCAATTAACATTTTATTTATTCATTTAACAATCCCCAAACGTCCTTCATTTCAAGTCATAAAATCCACTTCTACTGTAGAAAAAGAATGTCTTGTTAACTTTTCGGAGGTTCAATTTAACGCAATTCAGTATGTAGTCCGTCAATGAAAATCAACGTACAGCCTGACACATGTTTTTGATGACCCAGTTAGCAATACTGTGTTGCAATGATGAGATGAAATTAACAAGATGAATGGCAAAAGCGACTGAAATAACATAGTGGCTATAATAGTGAGAAGGGCAAAGCAATTAGAACATGGTTCGAAAAGACATGAAGAAATGTTGGAAACCAACATCTAGAATGAGATAAAAAAAACAATGCAAAGCCCAATAGACTGATTTCTGAGCTGTCATCCACAGCAATCGCTGACAGATATCGTCTCACGGATTCCAACCAGTTATTATATACGCGGCTTCGAGTTACATAGTCTGCGTGACGGCTAGTGATACTAATTCACCGGATATCCTGTTAGAATAAGATGCAGAGAAGTTTTGAACGTGAAACCCAATGGTAAAATTATGCTTATAGACTTTAATTCTCCAGCAATGAATTTTAGAATAAAACTTCAAACCCGTCAATTATAAAACTATCATTAAAATTTACTTAGATACATTAGTCGAGCGTATTCAATGAAGTCAAGTGCATGTAAAAATGGGTAAAACTTTAGCCTTATAGTATCCAAAAATAGTAAATAATTATTTATTTTTTACATCAAAGAATATGCACTTTTATTGTAACGTTCTGTCTTTGTTGACTTTCAGTAGGGTTTGACCTCAACCCTAATCCAAAACTATGACACAGTTCATTATTTAGTGTTAAACAATATTCACCATGATAATAATAATTTATTAAAATTAGTCCTCAAATGTCCTGGTACGACCATAGGTTAAGAGAATCTACTGGCGCATTTTTAAAATGTGAACTACTGGATTTTTACACAATGTAGATCTGAAGGCAATGTATTTTACGTGAGATTGGAGGATCTGTGGATCGATTTTGTATTGAGATTTGTGAGTGTACACTACTGACCCTATCAAAAATGTGACAGCATCAGATAGCGACGAAAACTACCCTTAAAATAAACATCAGTTGTACCACAACAAATTAGATCAAATAATAATGAGAAAAAAAAAGAATTTTGACTAACCTCCTATAGACGTATGATAATGTTGATCGGCAGTAGTCGTTACTTGACCAGGTGTTTGATATTGTATCAGTTGATTCGTTTTCAAATTATATTGTGATGAATGATAAGATGCGGCGGCTGTTGATGATCCACCACCACCACCACCACCAATGACTGATAATTCACCAGGATTAATCACACAAGCTGGTTGTAAATGTCCTGTTGAAGGGATAACATGAGATTGTTGAATTTGTTGCTGTTGGTTGTGATGATGGTGGTCTTCTTTTACTTTTTCATGTAATTCCTGTAAAAATCATGTAGAACATATAAAAAATTATCCTGATAGGAGGATTCAAAGAGATCATATGATTGTTAAGTTAGTTTACAATATGAAATGAAGATAAGTAAAAAATAAGTGGGAATAAAAGAGTTGAATACGTTTTTCCTCATGGCAATGTAACTCTAGCAGTTAGAAACCAGACTCACTCAATGTCAACTATATAATCTGAATGTAACGCGCTAATCATGAAATGTAGGGACTGTGGCATTATCACACGTATGCACTGCTGAGTCCTATATTAGAATGAAACAACTTCCCAACGGACCTTAGTTTTCAGAGATTGTTAGGTTAAAGTCAGTGACGAACATTATATATAACTAACATATTAATTGAATTGTCAAGTGAATTGCGATTGTATGTATTGGTGGTTGCTCATATAATTTTAAAAGGCATCTCCGAAGACATCACCCTGAAAATTAAAGAAAAGAATCAACACTTATCAACGGAAAACAGAAAAGTATTGATAGATCTTTAGGAAAAGACACCGCTACCGAATACTTCAAGCGCGAATCTTAAAATGGTTGGAGTGAGTTTAGGATATGTTGAGCTAATGAGATAATAGTTGGAAAATGATCTAGTTTCTGCCATAGAAGTCAACAAAATGACCTTACTTAGATATAGTCTGGTAGTAGTACTAGGCAATCGGCAACGAACTACTAGCGAGAAGCTAATGCGATCGGAAATTCATCTAGGGAAACTACAACTTCGTAAAAATGACATCTTATAAAGTTTATAACCCCGATTGAAAATAACTTTTCGATTATTTCTGGACAATATATTTCAATCTAATAATTTTTTTACCAAACTGAATTGCCTAATCTGTACTGAGAGTTACAAAAGCATGGATAACATAATTTTTTAGGCTCAATATTAACAACAGTTTACATAAAACTGACAAAACCCTATTCATTAAAGTGTTCATATTTAAGAAACAATCTCAAATCCTGTACGGGTATTTCTTTGGCTGACTTGTAAAGCAAATTGACAACCTAGGATATATTTGTTTAGTGGTTAAATTTATAAATGTTTATCCTTCACAGAGGTAAAAAGGAATAGGAAACAAGTTAGTCAATCTATAATTTAGACAATTTTTAGATATTAAGAAAGGGATACTCTAAGTGTTAAAGAAAAAATTCAATAATCCACACAGGATAGTTTCTAAACGAAACAACTATGCGTATATGAAAAATATTGAATTCTGTTCAACGTTTTTCCTCTGATCATCACCTTTTAAGATTGAATTGATAAAACATTATCTGGATACGTTTATCAGCTGATCAGATAATATTTAAAAAAACCACTTACAGAAAAACTATCACATCATTCACTACCAATAAAGACGGATTCCGTAAACATAGCTGGAAATAAATTGAAACAACCATTGAGTAATGACTTATTACAGTTAGAAGACGTACTTCAGTCTGGCATAAGACAATACCACAGAAAAGTATGAATAATGGAACATCAACAAAATATGGACCAGTTGTTAAAGTATACCTTTAAAAATAATCTCAAATCTTCACTGCCTGTACTATCTTCACTTGCTTCATGTTGTAATTGATCCACATCCTCAATTGTTAGCTGGTCATTTTGTTCATCAGTTGATGCAACTATAGGATTGGAAACTTTCTCAGGTTCGTCAGTCATGTAGGGAAAAAACAATAATCCTAAGCTTTGTTTATAGATTGATTTGGTTGGTTTTTGTTAAACAAGGTGTGTTGGCTGATGTGAAAAATAATTATACATAAAATGAACATAAAAATAAAAACTGGACAAAATAAGAATGATTAAGGATCAATTGTACAAATTAAGATTTATTTTAATTAATACAGTGTGGTTATACGGAAATATAACGATGGCCTCATTAACCTAACTAGTTGAAGTAATTCTCATGGACTTGTTAGAGAGGTTATCCCTAAAGAGATGTATGTAGTTTGATTAATGCTAGGTGGCTTATCAGACATGTACTGATATCATAATTACTTAAGGTATCACCAAAAGTAGGTAAATGCAGCAGCTTATCTTCTTCAACTAGATGATGGTCAAATTTGATATATGAAGTTTGCAAATATGCGATAGCGTTTTTCAAATTGATAGTTTCAAATAAATTGAGCAGAGTTAATAATAAATATTTTTTCGTTATATCACAATGAACAAAAATATAATTTTTCTACAAATTGAGATATGAAAAAATATACTCACTATTGTTTTTTAACTGTTGCTGAAATGCATCCCACTTTTACTTAAATGAGATTCTGAACATGAATTGAACCTCAAATGGAAAAGGATTGTGTTTTTCAGAAACAACTAACTGACGAAGCATGCGCAGCTCTGGTGTTTTAAATTGGACATCGTTATGTTCAATGTCGCTTGTCACTTATGCTTGAAACGAGGAACCACGACAATTTACACGACGCGATCTACTCACCCCGAAAAGATGACGATGATTCTAAGCGAAAGTACACTGATGTATATACTGATGTGTATACACGTTTGATTATCAATTAGAAAAACGTCACATGAAAAATGCCAATAACTGTAACAAGTCACATGTATATCATGATGAGTATATTTAATGTTAATTTAGTACTAGGAATATCATATTTTGTCTAAATATACCAGTGAAATAAACCAATTTTATAGTGAATAAAATATAAGACTAGAAAAATTAAACAAATATTACTCCGAGTAATTACCATACTGAATTCAAAAACGGAATCACAATGAGTTCGAAACGAGAAACTTTGTCTTCTAATACCGTCATATCATGAGTGGAGATGTATTTATTCATTTGTAGCAGTCTATAGTCTAAACACCTATTTGAGCTTATGTGTGAAGCATTTAAAATAGTGGTTTTTGAAGAGGTTATATGGATTTATTCAAAAAGTTAACTAAAAGTTAGTGAGATGAGATTAGTATCATAATTCTTACTAGCATACGTCTTGAATGTAACTAGATTAATAAATGCAGTCAAGTGAAAATTATTTGACAGTGAATAATTCAATTTACTTGGACAAAGTATGTTTACTAGTGGGCCACCGTGGCAATTAGCAAAGTCACACATGAGAAATCGTTTATCAAATAGTAAATGCCTGGGTGAGATCTCACTCCGCGCTAAAAGTATGTGCCAGCTGAAATCCTTTACTATTCAGCGCGATCACAACTGTCAGTGGACTCTTTAAGGATAGACTAAATTACGTGTGTACGAATATTGTATTATGTCAGCTCCAATAAAGAATGAGTAAACAGGGTAAAATGCAATACATTTATTAGTCTTATTCCCTTCATGTTATATGATACAACTTTTGTTTCTTCAAGTTGTTAGTCTTCACAAGCATTATTACTGACTACTGTTTATTTCTAGCCCATTATCTTTTTCCCAATAACCTTTACCCCACTGACTGCCATCTCAAAACCTTTAATAGATTAAGACAGTCAGCGAGCCGGCGATGTGACACCATGGTTCCAGCAACCTCACTGCCAGAGGACAGGGGTAGTGATCTGGCTTCTGAATGTACCAATCTCCTTATATTCGTCACATTAGCTGGAACTTTTATGAATGATTGGATAGACTAAATTTATTGGATAATATCAGAAACCCGAAATCGTTCCCTAATGTCGTGATCGAAGTGCACAAAAAAAGCCAGTTAGTACTGTTAAACCCTCAACTTTTCAGAAAAACTGACCACTTGATGGATATTCAGCAGAAACCCTATTTGAATTAGTGGGAAAGTCTTGAGAGTGTACGACCAAGACTACAGAATTCACACAGGTCTAAGTAATATACACAAAATTTGAGCACGACTAAGATATGAATTAAAATTGAACCATTCATCCTGTATGTTTGGTGACTGTATTTCATCATTTTAACACATCTTTATATGAAAAATAATTATTTGATGAAACCTTTAATTTTGAAGAACTGCTCGAAATTTCATGTTAACAAATGCAAAACATAATGAAAGGGAACTAAGACAACCAGATATCCACAACTAAAAAACATACTGTTTCAACTCTAGTTTGCGATGAAATAATAGATAGTTGTTCATTATCAACAAATGCGAAACTAAAGAAGCGAGATCTACGACAACCGTAACACAGAATTCAAACGAACCCGAAACTTTACAGATGACCTTGCTAGCAGAATTGCATATTCCAATATCCAATATCCATCAACTCCTAGTTCCATTTGTGAAGATAAGATCCTACAACGCTGTGCAAGTATGTTTGTTTGAGTATTATACGATATCTTTTGAAAATTTTGTGTGATTGTCTTTAAAAATCGATTCACGTATACATTTTGGTCATCTGTTCTTCATTAATTTAGCTGTAAAATCTTTCTCGGATTTATGGTGCTGATTGAGACAGTGGTACTTACTTATCGTTAGGTTTTCCTGGCTCTCATACTTATCATAAACCAAATATGTCATTTTACCATACAGGTGGTTATGGCGATTACCATGATAATTCGTCCCGCTTTTTGATTAGAGTGCACGAAGTGGATGGAATTGTGCATTTTTCGATTGATAATACAAGCACCCTTCCAGCACTGGAAATACTCAGTGCTATAACATATAATTCCTGATACGTTTTTTATTGTTATTGGTACTTATTTATATATTACCATTCTAACAATCTACGTGAACTCTCTAGAAACGCCAGATTAATATTCCCTTATAGTTAAGAAAGTTTAATTATTATATCTGTAACAGTTTCATATCTTTCGTCAACTTATGTCGCAGGTGTCCGGAGTTTGACAATACAATTGCACGTGGTACCTTTACGTTCTAAACATACCAACCCAGTCAAATCAGAAGTCAGAAATGAAAGGGTTCGAAAATATATTTAGAAGGCCATCGATATGCCGAGAAGCGTTCAATCTGAGCTGACAAACTGTCGCAAGGGACGCCATGTACGACGGACCCACTCGTGATCTCGTGCGGATGCGTGCACGATAGACTTCAGCTAGGTTTTCCAGCATTAATGTCGCAGACTTATAGCGGTAATGGGCCCTAACCACACAACACTCGAAAATGAACACGGAACAACCGGGAAAATAAATATTCAACATCTAACGCAGATAAAACTCAACGATGGAGAAAGCGGGAATAATGAGTGTAATTAATTTTAATTGATCGGATGACATGGCATAATTTTAAAATCATCCTGTCATTGGTTTTTTGTTGTAGCGGTAAATAAATCCCCAAAATAAATAGCCCTGTAAGTTTTCGACATTGGATGCTGACCATATGTTTTAGTGGACTCATCTAGCTGAAGGCGCTCGGTCAGGCATCCGCACCAGATCACGTGTGGTAACACCGTGCTCAACATCAACCGCAATCGCTAGCCAGATTAGATCAGAGAATTCCGATATATTGGTAATCGCCAAATACACTCTTCCGATCTCCTCGACTCTGTCTTTTGATTTCTCTTGGTGGGAACGAAATATATTAAGTGTTACTGGTAGAAGCGTTGTCAAGCACTGAATACCTGTGACATCATCATTGGTGAGACCGTCGTGATCTGGTACACCTAATTGCAACTGTGAGTCTGTTCCTTTTTGGGATTTTTATATATCTTTGCCTTATTTTTTATTTTTTTAAACATTGTGATTTTTTTCGTGTTTTTCTTGGATATATATATTTTTCCCTCGTTCATTATCGTACTTCATACTTCATCATGACTGAACAGACACCTAAAGTACTAAAGCTTAAGACTTTGTCCCCGCCTTCGTTTCAACTGATCCCTTTCTGGCCCGACAACATCGAAGCCTGGTTCTGCTACGCAGAAGCCGACTTCCACGAGCACGGCGTGAACGACACACGTGCACAATTCCTCGCAGTAGTCAAGGCACTACCGCGCGAATTCAACAGGTACGTAACACCTAGTATGTTTACTAGTGATGTTTCTGATCCTTACGAAACCTTAAAACGTTCGATTCTTAAACGAGGAGACCTAACCGATCGACAAAGGTTAGATCAACTCTTCAACAATTTCGACCTGCAACACGGTTCTGCGACGGACATGTTGCAACGGATGAGAGAGGTTATAGGCCCAAGAACTTTCGACGAAGGTCTATTCAAACAACTCTTCTTGTCAAAACTTCCCCAACAGGTGCAAGCAGTTCTGGTCTCGTTCCAGAACAACGCCTTAGACGAACTAGCTGCATCTGCCGACCGCATTTTAGAAATTACGAAATCGTCTACTACCGAGGTATTTTCAGTCAAAGAAAAGCCTCAAACAACTCAGAATGACATAACCGAGTTATGTCACACACTCACGCGTTATCTTAGTCTTCGTACCGACCGTAAGAGATCGCGCACACCACGTAGAAGCATTTCTCGTAAGCGATCTGTCTCTAGACCACGAGAGACAGATAACCCCGACTGGTGCTGGTATCATAACCAGTATGGAAAGTTTTCCAGAAATTGCAGAAAACCCTGCAATTTTCCCAACACGAAACCGACTGACTCGAGAAACAACTCGGGAAACTTCCAAGCCGGCACGCGTTAACGGCAACCGTAGCCGGCGAACAAAGCCGTCTGTTATTCGTCACAGATGTGACAACGAGAGTTCGCTACCTCGTCGACACTGGCGCAGAAGTTAGCGTTCTCCCAGCAAATCCTAACGACCGACTTCACGAATCGACCCTAAACTTACAGGCGGCAAACGGAAAACCGATCGCTACGTATGGCAAAAGGTACGTTTACCTTAACGTGGGTTTACGCAAACCCATCCACTGGATTTTCGTCGTTGCAGATGTTTCTATGCCAATCATTGGTATGGACCTTCTACAACACCACAATCTGATCATCGACACTCGCAAACGGAGGCTAGTAGACGGAAACACTAATTTGTCCGTTTGCGTAACTTCTTTTACTGGTTGTAGAGTATCCCCAGTCACAGTTAAACATATGATAGACCCACTCTATCAACCACTACTCGATAAGTACCCTGGGATACAACAAACTCAACGAAACTACCGTGTGTAACCAGCAATGTTACACATCACATCACGACTACAGGACCACCTGTATTCTCTAAAGCACGACGACTAGCTCCTGAAAAGCTAAGGTTAGCGAAAAACGAATTCGATCACATGATGGACTTAGGAATCATACGACCGTCAAGTAGCCCATATGCATCTCCGTTGCACATGGTCCCTAAAAAGGACAGCAACGATTGGCGTCCAACTGGTGACTATCGGCGATTGAACGCGAAAACCATTCCCGATCGTTACCCGTTGCCTCACATTCACGATTTGACAGCTACCTTGAAAGGTACAACTGTCTTTTCGAAAATCGACTTGGTTAAAGCGTATAACCAAATCCCTATGGCTACTGACGACATACCGAAAACAGCTATCATAACTCCCTTCGGACTCTATGAATTTTTGCGAATGCCTTTCGGTCTAAGGAATGCTGCTCAAACATTCCAAAGATTCATAGACGACGTTTTTCGAGGTCTCAACTTCGTACACGCGTATGTTGACGACTGTCTAATCGCAAGTCCGGACAGAGAAACACATCTCAAGCATCTGGATCTTGTTTTCGAACGATTACAAAAACATGGCATAACTGTAAACGTTCAGAAATGCCAATTTGGAACCGACTCGTTAGACTTTCTGGGACACACTATCGATGCTCAAGGTATCCGACCCCTTAGAACCAAAGTGGCGGCCATTCTGGATTACCCAGAACCGACCACCGTCAAGCAATTACGCACGTTCAACGGCCTGGTAAGTTTCTATAGACGTTTCATACCGAAATGCGCATTACTTATGAAACCTCTGACCGACCAACTTCGTGGAAATGCGAAATCCATTAATTTGGACGACACCGCACGAAAAGCATTCTCCACAGTTAAGGAACTGATCGCTAAAGCAACAATGCTCGCACATCAGGACACCCGAGCACCCATTAGCATCGCAGTAGACGCATCCGACTCGGCAATCGGAGGAGTCTTACAACAATGGGTTAACAACTCCTGGCAACCCTTGGCATTTTTCTCTAGAAGGTTGCTAGACACCGAATCGAGGTACAGCACATTCGGTAGGGAACTCCTAGCTATGTATTGTGCTGTACGGCATTTCCAACACTATATCGAAGGCCGTGAATTCACTCTTTTCACGGACCATAAACCGCTCACTTTCTCGTTAAGCTCTCCTTCTGACAAGTACTCTCCCCGTGAGTCTCGACAACTGGACTACATTTCGCAGTTTACTTCAGATATTCAACACATCTCTGGAGCAAACAATGTAGTTGCAGACGCTTTATCTCGCATAACTTCCTTGAACAGTTTCCAAGGAATCGACCTTCTTAAACTCGCCGAGCTTCAAAAAGAAGACACTGATCTTCAGCACGAGTTATCGTCCACAACACTTAAACTACGCATCAAACAGATGGGAACAGGTAAGGAAACCTTACTTTGTGACACATCTACAGGTAGGGATCGCCCAATCGTGCCGAAACATTATCGACGCAATGTCTTCAATACATTGCACAAACTTTCTCATCCAGGTGTTCGTGCAACCATCAAGCTTATAGCAGAACGATTTTGCTGGCCTGGCATGAATAAAGACGTGAGGGAGTGGGCACGCTCCTGTGTAAGCTGCCAAAAATCTAAGGTTATCAGACACAATAAATGTCCCTTAGGCTCGTTTAAAACTCCCGATGCTCGTTTCGACCATGTTCATCTGGATTTGGTAGGACCTTTACCAGATTCAAATGGATACTCTTATCTCTTAACCTGCGTAGACCGTTTCACTCGATGGCCAGAAGCAGTACCTATCAAGGACAGCACTGCTGAAACAGTGGCCCGCACATTCGTCGAACGATGGGTAGCAAACTTCGGTTGCCCTTCAACCATCACTACAGACCGCGGACGTCAGTTTGAATCTGATCTTTTCCGTCGTCTGACCACACTTTTAGGAATCACTCGCTTCCGAACGACCGCCTACCATCCACAAGCAAACGGGTTGGTAGAACGTTTTCACCGACAACTGAAAGCTTCGCTATCAGCTGCAAACGTTTCACAATGGACCGACGCTCTTCCACTCGTCTTACTAGGTATCCGCAATGCAGTGAAAGCTGACATTGGATACACTGCGGCTCAAC